AGGTAATCTAAGGAGAAGATAGAGTAGTCGATAGAGTGAGAGAAGGCAGAACAGGTCGTGGGGATTTAGTTTGTATGCTTATCCATTGACAGTGTGGTTTTAAGTTTTATGAGGATAAGCCATTGAGACACAAACCTTGCATTTCTGCATGATTGTCTAGCTTCCGCTTAAAAATCTCCAGAGATGGCGCTGTAGTCACGGCCGCCGGTAAAGCGTTCCAGAGACGGCAAACACGAAGCGAAAAGAAATGTGATCGCACTCGAGTCTTTGGTCTCTGGTGTGCTATCCTTAGCGGGTTACCTCGTGGAAGCCTATAATCGCTTAATGGCAGGATGCTTTTATTTGGGTGGGCCTGATCATTTAAGATCTGGTGGACGGTGATGAGGTTTCCCCTGTGCAAACGGTAACTAAGTGTGAAAAGACCTAATTTCTTTAGTCGTTCCTCGTATGATTTGTTGCGGAGGCCGACCACCTATTTTGTCGCTCGTCTTTGGACACTTTCTAGAATGTTAGCATCCCTTTTGAGTAGCGGAGGTGCTATGATATTATGCACCTCAAGGTGTGGCCTCACATATGTCTTGTATAACCCTAAGAACAGTTTGGGAGTAAGAGCTCCCAGCTGCCTGTGCATAAAGTGTAAAGTTGCGTAGGCTTTGGTGACGTCCCTCGCGTAATTTCCACTGGCGTCTAGCTTTTCTGTTAGAATAAGACCTAGATCGCGCTCTGACGGAACACAACTCAAGTTCTGGCCACCAAGGGTGTAATTTACACTCTGTGACCTGCCGGAATGAAGTTGCACTACTTTGCACTTCTTTAGGTTGAAAGGCATTCCGTTATCCAGAGCCCAGCCTCCCAGAGTTTGCAGGTCAGCCTGCAATCTATCTGAGTCTTCCGATGAGTTTATTGCTCTCCAAATCTTTACGTCGTCAGAGTAAAGGAGCGCAGAGCAGTTTAGTTGGGAGGGCAGGTCGTTGACAAAAATCAAAAACATCAACGGCCCTAGGATAGAACCCTGAGGAACCCCTGATGCCGAGGTGTGCCAGGATGATCGGATGCGGTTGACTTTGGTGCAGAATCCTCTCTCGCCTAAGTAATCTTTCAGCCATGCGAGAAGTGCTCCAGAAGCACCCGCCTTGCTTATATTGTGAAGGAGCAGACCATGGTGAACTGTGTCGAATGCTTTTGCAAAGTCGAGAAAGATCACGTGGGCTGGTACCTTTTTGTTCCAGGATAGTGTCCAATCGTTCCAAGCTAGTAGAAGATTCGTCACGCAGGATCTTCCCCTCCTGAAACCGTTCTGTGCTTCGTGAAGAAGGTTAGTCCCATCGAAGTATTTTCTCATGTGGTCGTCAATGAGACTTTCCGATATTTTCGATATCACTGGAAGTAGAGCAACTGGTCCGTAATTGGTCGCATTCTGCCGGTCACCACCCTTGAAAATAGGGGATAGGATTGCTCGTTTCCATTCACATGGAAGTTTCCCTACATCAAGGGAGCGTTGGAACAGATCATTTAGGGGTTGGCGGAGACTTTCTGAACACTGCTTCAGGGCGGATGATCTGATGTCATCATAACCTGAAGACTTTCCCGAAGCCAACCTTCCCAATTTTGCAAGTACCAAACAGGTTTTCGCGTGTTGGTTTTGCGATGTATTCTTGATGTTCTGTGGGGTAATATCCTCGTTACTGTTTAGTTGCCTGTGAAAGGCTAGGCTGAATGTCTCTGCCATTTCAAGACTAGTAAGAGATTTCCCATCAGAACCCACTAGATTGCATGCTTCCTGGTTGGTCGGCTTTCTTTCAAACATAAACCTGTATAGGCTTTTGGGGTTCACAAGAAGCTTATTGGCGAGGTTTCCCTGAAATGTCCTTCTATCGCTCCGGACTCGTATGCTACATCGATTCCTGAGTTCAAGGTACACTTCATGTTCGGGTTGACTCTTCGATCGTCGCCACGCAAACCAGGCTTTTCGCTTCGCCTGCAGAAGGCGTTGTGTCCCTCTTTTCGGCCATGATCGTTGCTTCCTAGCTTTTGGTGAGACTAAAGGAACAGTGTCTGAGACCGCCTGGTGAATGATTTCCTTTACCACTCTCCAGTGTTCTTCTACTGTTAGCCCTGTCCATTTTTTAGGCCAATTTGCTTCAGACAGAAGTCTGTGCATTTTTGTGTAATTGGCTTTGTTATAACATCATCATTGAAGCTGGATATTTCAGTGCCCCATCCTGAACATTGGCTCGTGGTATGCTCAGGGAAAATTCGGTCAAGATCAGCTGCAAACCATTAGAAATAAAGAACTGAGATTGTCGGCAACGGAGCTAGATGGAGTTCTACGGGAAAGTCACCAAAACCAGATTATATTCTAACTAGTGGCCAATTACTTGTAGGAAATATCCAAATCATGAGCCCCCTGAGGAGTTATCGCCACGTAGTCACATGGTGTGATCTTGTTCTCTGTGAACGCCCCCAATGGGACACGCTACAGCATAGCCCACTATGTTGGAATGAAGAAGCTTTTGTCCGACGTGGAATGGCCCTTAAAGTAAGCTGAGTTATATGTGGATGGACACTGAGAAGTAATTGAAGGGGTTATTCACGCATCAATCTCAGAGACGCTCCCTGTGTTCGCAACACAGCCGATGAAAAGCCTCTCATGTCTGAAGAGAGCTACTCAACGTATTCTACAAGCAAAGCGGAGGGTTTGGTCTACGTGGCGGATAATAAAGAGTCAGGGGACCCCGATGCAGGCCCGAAACTCAAGAATGGGTGCAACACGAGAGAGAGGAGTGACGGCTAGGCTAACCTCGCCAAAAATTCTTGGTGAACCACAATAGCATTTGCTGATTTATGACGGAAAGAAATTCAAACAATCAGGTGGCATGCGCCTTATTAGGTCCAAACAGGCAATCCCGAGCTAGTCTGAAGATGTATGAGACATTCAGTTTCGCCTTAGCCAAACAGTTAAATAGCAATGTGAGTGTTTCTGGTACGGGCCAAAATGGGAGCGCTGTTACTTCACCGGTGGCCAATCTCCAAATATACCCGGTATTATTACTACGGAAGCCACAGAGACTCACATTCGGAAAGTCGTTCAACACAGTTCATCATGACCACCTACGCAAAATAAGTCAGGCAAGTATAGGTAGGCCGCTTCTGCCACGGTTTCAGGATTACCTGGCTGAAAGGCAATTCTGCACTAAGGTCAATCGAGTCCCATCATCTTGGCACAGATCGTCATCAGAACTGTCGCAGGGTTCTATCCCAGGACCACTTATGTTTTTGATTTTTATCAGTGATCTACCACGCCATCTAAGCTGCCTGACTCTCCTATACGCTGACGACGTAAAAATATGGAGGGCGATAAAGTGTCCGGAGGACTCAGATAGGCCACAGGAAGACCTAAACCTTATGGAAGACTGGGCGGTGGACAGTGGCATGACTTTCAACCTGAAAAGTGCAGAGTGGTGAAGTTGCGCACCTGCAGACTGAAGAATGCAAGTTACTCCCTGTGCAATGAAAGCTTGTCCTGCACAACGTCGGAACGCGACTTAGGTCTAGTTCTAACGGAGAAAATTGACACAAGCGTAAATTACACAGGGGATGTAGCGAGGGCATATGCGGTCATACACTTTACGCCTAGACAGTTAAGTGCACTCACTCCTGAGCTCTTTCTAAGGTTGTACAAAACATACGTCAGGCCACACCTTGAGGTGCATAATATTATTGTACCCCCATTGCTGAGAAGAGACGCCAACCTCTTGGAAAGAGTCCAACGCCGGGCAACAAAAGGAGTGGCTGGTCTCCGAAACAAACCATATGATGAAAGGCTGAAGAAATTAGGCCTGTTCACACTTAGTTACCGTCGGCTTAGGGGGGATCTGATTACTGCCTACAAAATAACAAATGACCAGAATCACCCAAACAAAGGTGTTCTGCCATTGAGTAGGTATAGGCTTCCACGTGGAAATCCCAGAATGATAGCTCACCAGAGGGCAAGGACCCGGGTGCGCTCCCACTTCTTTTCACTGCGGGTTTGTCGTCCCTGGAATTCCTTACCAGCAGATGTAGCTATGTCACCGTCTTTGGACACCTTTAAGCGAGGGCTGGTCAACCATGCAGAGGCACAAGGACTGCATCCAAGTGGCCCATCCCCTTAAAATCGCATACACCATTCAGGGGTAGACAATTAAACTCGTCGTTTTACTTCTTTACATTCTCTCCCGTCTTACTCTCCTGACAACTTATTAATATTACAATTACTATTACTATTATTATTATCATCGATATATATATGTATTATTCTTCAAATTTAATCAGCTGACTGTTGTTATGCTTTCCTATTTCCGTTTCTGTCTCTTAGTCTGAATAGCTTCACTAATTATATCTATTATCATTATTATTATTACTATCTCTTTTCTCTTGTCGACAATACCGAAGGACTAACTGGCGAAAGGATTAACTTTAATCACAGTAGTAACAGTCTTAACATACCTCATACTACAAACCACATATAATTAATCCCAGCACTACTCCCTTTGGAGTCAACCAAAGCTACAATAGTCGAGTGGCGACTTACGCAGAAGTTTACCGAAGATCAGGAACCTATACCTTACAATCAAGAAGCGAGCACAAAGAAATCGAATTGGTCTATACTAGCTTGCAAAAACGATATTGGATCGTTGGACATTGAATCGAAACTGCAGCAGTATTCAAAAATTTGCTTTGATATCGCAGCCTGAAGATTAAAATCCATGGCTTTTCTTCAGCTTACCTGCTAATTGTTACTAGAGAAGTAAAACGAAGCGTATTTTTGCGAATTTCATCAATTTACCAAATACTGATTATACACTCACAATCTAAAAGTTAGGTCATCTGATTTGGGCATGTTTCATGAACTTTGCTTATTTATCATAACAGTTAATATATTATTCTCTTATAGATTGTTTCCGCTACTTGCGAATTTCGCGGGCAGATCGTCTATTTGAAGAAGCTTGCATAACATCATGACAAGCAACATAACTTTCTCGGAGATAGAAAACGAGAATAACGTTAACAAAGGAAGCATAGCCTCACTAGGACTAAATAAGTACGTTGATAGATCTTTATTTTGTGGCGAAATTCAAAACTAGACGTGTTTCAAATATCTGATGCATTTTTTCTGGTGAATGTTGATCAGTGTGCCTTGAATTCAACAAATATTTCGACCATTTACATACGTAGATTCCGCCTAATGTGGTGCTAGGTAGTGATGTTGTTTGCATCCAATACACTTACTTTTATTCATAAAAATGATCCGAATAAGCTTAGGAGCCTGTAAGATTACGCTTACATACAATGCTTTGACAATATTATCAGTAATCTCTTGTCATCATTACGTGTATCGACATATTTTAACACATTCAAGTTAGCTATCTTTGAAAATCGATTGCTTTCAGATCCAAAAGCGCGAAATTACTTGCATAGATGATAAAGTATTAAACAATACTTAACTGATAATTTCATTTTTAAAGCAAACACTACATATAAAATATGATGGTTACTATGAAACATCTTCCAAAAATTTAACCAGCTATATTTCTCTGAAGAACTGATGACATGAGATTCAGTTTAAATTAAATTCAGTTTAAATTGAAACTTGTGTCCATCACAAGGAAGATTATTGGGTTCGTTTTAGATTTTTAACATTTGAAGAAGCATGAATTGGTCTAATAAAATCATTAGATTGTTTAACTTGTTATACTTAAAAAAAATTCATTTTGCATCTACTTTTATCAAAATCATAAATACGTTTGTTTATTTTTTCAGAAAAACAAAGAATCTATATTACTGTTCATTATTTATGTTGGTAATACTTTGTTTATTATTGGTAAGTAGTCTCTTCACTCTCTTTTCTTATTCCTTTTCGTTTCCAGTGGAATATAGGGCTTCAAGATCCACCTTCGAATTTTCAGTAGCAGTGGCATTTTCTTCTACTGGGTGCGGTTGCTGGCCCCACGCCGGATCTCCCCTCCTTGTCAGGATTATAACCAGGTGATGGAGGTAGAGTTGTGCACCTGTCTGGATTCGAACATCTGACCACGTGCATGGTCGACCAGCACTCTACCGCTGAACCATCGACGCACACATACGTTTGAGCAACACTGAAGGAACTCATGTCCTTTCTGAGATTTCAATCCGCGTTTCCCGCTTAGCTTTTCAGGGCTCATTTGCTCTTCAGTTTTACCTTATTCTTCCTGGATAATAATATTAGCAGATGAGTTGCCTTATGGAGAAAATTTATTTCCTTTAAGTCTCACATTATTATGCAGTAATATTTAGTGATGACGTTACAAACACATTTTATTACCGCTCATAATCATAGAACATTACTTACACAACTTTTCAATTTTGTGGGACCATAAGACTTAATCAAAATAAATTTTCCTCGTAACTAAATTTTAGTCTACCACAGTGCCTAAGTTAGTCGATGAGCATTTATTAACTGTTTTTATAACAGCGTTATCCAGAAAATCATTTTATACATTGAGGATGCCAAGATTCGTTTAATTTCAAGGTAGATATTAGCTATAATAAAACTGATCGGTTTTCCACTTTATTCCATAACTCCACTTGTGAACATACACTTAACAAAGTGGGTTGATGTGAACTCACGGAAATTGTGCTGAGAGGTTGTGACCAATGTTCAATGAAATGATTATATTAATGGTAATCATTACGTATTGTGACATGAATAAAATAAGTCGTTGAATAGCAATTATTATTATTATTATTATTATTGCTACCGTGGGTTCCTAGTGGAACACAGGGCTTCAACTGCACATCCGCTATACATTTCACCTGCATCCATGTTAGTCCATACTGTTTCAACTCCTCTTCACAAGATCTCCTCCATGTCATCCCTACACCGACGTCCCACTAGCCGCTTCCCTTTCGGGTTCCACTCGAGCAATGGCCTGATGCGCTATGTCACCCAGTGGTCTCCTCAGCGAGTGTTGTTGATGCTGAGTAACGGAGATTTCCAGATTGATTTCAGGTGGATGAATGTGTTTCTTGCCTTCCCAATTTTCGATTTGACATCCTTGTCCGTTCCTCCTGTAGTTGAGACAATGCTCTGCAGATAAGTGAATGAAGTAACCTCTTTCAAATCCCTCCGGTTGATGGTGATTTGCGCTGGGTGTTGCTGCTGTTGTTGTTGTTAGTTGGTTATTTTCATAACCTCCGTCTTGTCTATGTTCACCTGGAGTCCTGTCTTCACTATCTGCTTCTTTGACCAGTTTGTCGGTTTTCACTTGTAAGTCTTCGATTTTGAGTGACATCAAACATAAATCATCCACTCACGAAATCCATATCTTCTAGGTTCTTCACGTCGGTCCAGAATATCCCTGTCTTCTCGTTTCCCACTCACTGTGTGACGCATAATCCAATCCACCACAATTAGGAATATCATTGGTGATAATAAGCACCCTTGTCTGACTTCTGTGTTTACTCCAAACGCCTCGCTGAGTTTTCCGTTGTGTGAATAGCAATTAGACTGCCTTAAAACCTGACAATAGCTCACATTCATATTACACGGTTGGAGGAGGTTGATAGAAAGTCGTGAACCTATGTTTCGTGCTAGTTGGCACTCACCAGGCAGCAAGGCATGTCTGTAACCTTGAAGGAAATCATGTCCCTCATAAGATTCAAGCACGCGTCACCCAGTGCTGCCTATTGCTTCAAACGACCTAATTCCAACAATTCAAAGTGCACCATGATGGCAAGCCACTTAGAATGGTGGCCACATTGCAAACCTGACTGTTGGAATTCAGTCTGTAGTAGTACCAAGGACTAGACACATTACATTAGTTACTGCTGAATGTCCAATCAAATGGCTCACATTTGTTAGCGCAAAAATAGCAGTCACAAATCAGTAGTTGAATAATATACTAGAACCACCATAAGTGTTTTCCTAAAATTTATGTTTGCTTTTGCAATACGTCCCTGTACTGGCCATTAGTTTAAAGTTTATTGTACAATATTTTCTAAAGCAGTAGAAAGAGATTATAGTTAAGAGCTATTTGTGTATGGTAGACTTTGTCTATAGACAGCACTTCAAAAGTATTCAGAACAAAATCAGAGATAAATGTGTCAAGAAGTCAACTACTGGAGATAACCAAAACAATAACTAGTAAGACTTTGAATTAAAGATCTGTAATGTTTTCTTCAAAGTCTGTCAATCACGCTATCAAATGTTTCTTTTAATACAACCTAAAAGATTATGCATTGCAGACTAGATGTGCATTTATTTTTACCACTCTAAGGCAAATTATTCAGACATTTGTCGCCATTATTCACACTACGGTAAAATATTTTTAATTCTTAATTCAATTTTGATTTCCCTCCTGATTCAGTGGATGGAAATGTTCGGCCTTTGTTGACTTATTGGCTACTAGTCTGGATGTCTGGGGACTAACCTAAGCAGATGTCGAAGACTTACGTCCAATCAATCAACACAAAAATCGAAATTGGATAGAAAACAAGAAGTAACCCATACACGTTGTACAACAGGTGACTGTAGTGGCCCAAATGGTCTAGTGAGGATTTTAAAGGTTGACGGATATTAAAGGTTTGACGTGATATCTCGTTCAACAACTTCTAATTAATTTATTCTCGCGTACCAAAGACAAAGCAAAAGCCAACAATTGATCGTCCAAACCAAGATATATATTTAGTAACCAAAACCAGCCGTTAGACGAACGCTTAGCTAGCTAGTGATCGTGCACGTGACACGACGAGGTACCAAATGGCGGGGATGCTTGACCGGAAGCCTTCAGCTAAACAAGTCGACTTAAACAGTGGTGGTCAGCATCCAATGAGTGATTGCTGTGGTCAATAATTTTGGGGAATTATTTACCGCTACAGCTCACTCCCCCCTAGTGGGGTCGTGAGGACCCTAAGACAGAACCAGCCGGAAGTAAAAAAACTCGATGGTTCCCTTTCGGGTGAAAAAAATCTTCCGAGCGGCTTGGTCTTATGCCTACTGGTTTGTCTGCCTATGCTAATGGGGTGTTTGTACATAGCTTCCTGGTGTTGTTCGTTGGATTCCGTGCTTCGTTTGTTTCCCGTCCAGTGCCCGTCGCACCTGGAAAAGAAAACAAGAACGCTAAGAACCATGTCGAGGAAAATGTACGAAATGAGCTTTTTGGTTAAAAAAAATTGTGTGCATTTACTATACAGTAAAATAATGCTAAGTTCAGAACATCGAAAAAAAATACATCTAATTAATTTTTTTGTGTATGTTACATGAACTGTTGAGAAAAAATTTTTTGTGTTCGGTGGTACTGTATATAAAAAAAATTTTTACGTCAAAAAAAATAGTTAGTACCACAAACGAGTGAGTTGCGTGAATCACACGAATTCGTTAAGTCAAATAAGTGTGCAGATATTCTGGGAACCTTACGGTGCGTCCAGAACGGGTTTTCTTGGGAGGCTCGATAGAAGGTTCGGTAGCTGTCGCTGTGCTAGCGACTTCATCGATGTCTACACGATCTTCTGTTACTTGTGGATTTTGGGGTACGTTCAGCTCTATGCTAATAGGATTACCCTCCAAGTAAGCCGGTTTCAGACGGTCAATGCTGACGGTGTCCTCGCGGCCGTTTTTGTCCAAGACAAAGAATTTATCAGAACGTTTAATTACCTTATAAGGTCCGTCATATGGGGGTTCCAGGGGTCTGCGCACAGAGTCGCGACGAACAAATACATGTGAAGAAGTTTTCAAACACGGATGAACGAAAACATCAATGGACTGTGGACGAAGGGGAGCAGGTTTAACTGAACGCATTGCGTTTGTAAGCCTGCTGACGTATGAAGCGTGATCTACCACTGGTGGGAAGCTCGAGGGAGAAACAAATTCACCAGGCAGTCGCAGTGTCGTGCCATATACTAGCTCGGCGCTAGTACAACCAGCATCGGTTTTCAAGGCGTTTCGTATCCCTAGGAGAACTAACGGAGGGATTCAGTCCAATGGGTGGTGTTTGCAGCTGACAGACCAGCTTTCAGCTGTCTGTGTAGACGTTCTACCATACCATTAGCTTGAGGATGGTAGGCTGTTGTTCGAAATCGCATGCAACCTAATATTTTAGTCAGGGCAAAGAATAAGCCACTTTCGAATTGCCGCCCGCGATCAGTTGTTATGGAAGATGGGCATCCAAAGTTAGCAATCCATCTTTCTACGAAGACGCGTGCGACTGTTTCAGCAGATACGTCCTTGATGGGTACTGCTTCCGGCCATCGTGTGAAGCGATCTATGCAAGTTAAAATATAAGTATATCCATGTGATTCAGGAAGGGGACCAACCAAATCTATATGGACGTGTTCGAAACGAGCGTCAGGGAGAAGAAAGGTGCCAAGTGGGCTTTTGGTGTGTCTTATCACCTTGCACTTTTGACAAGCTAAGCACGTTTGTGCCCATTCCCTTACTTCTTTATTAATGCCAGGCCAACAAAACCGACTAGTTACGAGCTTGACAGTAGTGCGAATACCTGGGTGAGATAAGCCATGCAACGTATTGAAGACGTTACGGCGATAACTTTTAGGCACGATGGGGCGAGGAGTACTCGTGGAAATGTCGCATAGAATAGTATCTCTTCCCATACCTAAGGGTTTCTCAGCTAATTGTAGAGTTGTTTTCGACAACTCATGTTGAAGTTCGGCATCTTCTTTTTGAAGACGAGCCAGTTTTACTAGGTCTATGCCGTCGATTTGGGTGAAAGAACAAACGCGCGACAAGGCATCTGCCACAGTGTTGTTTACTCCGGATACATGGCGAATATCTGATGTAAACTGTGAGACGTAATCCAGTTGTCGTGATTCCCTGGGTGAATACTTATCTGAAGGTGAGTTCAGAGAGTACGTCAGAGGTTTGTGATCCGTAAAAATTATAAATTCACGACCCTCTACCGAATGTCTAAAATGTCGTATAGCACAGTACATAGCCAGAAGTTCTCTGCCGAATGTGCTGTACTTCGTTTCAGCTAATTGAAGGCGCCGGGAGAAAAAGGCAAGTGGTTGCCACTCATTGTCAACTAGCTGTTGTAGAACTGCGCCGATTGCAGTGTTTGATGCATCAACCGAGATACTTAACGGTGCCGTTGGATCCTGATACATCAGAAGTGTGGCATTCGCAATAGCTTTTTTAATCTGGGTAAAAGCATTTCGAGCAGACGCGTCAAGTTCTATGGACTTGTTATTCCCTCGAAGGAGGTCTGTCAATGGCTGAATCAAAGAGGCACAGTTGGGAATAAAGCGTCGATAATAACTTACTAAGCCGTTAAAAGTGCGGAGACTTTTCACCGTCTGTGGCTCTGGAAAGTTCAGTATAGCCTCGACCTTAGTAGCCAGTGGGCGAATGCCCTTGCAGTCAATAGTGTGACCCAGAAAGTCGAGTGAGTCAACACCGATTTGACATTTTTGAATATTAATGGTAACACCATGTTGGCGTAACCTGTCAAATGCCAAGTCCAAGTGCCTAAGGTGAGTTTCCTTGTCTGGACTGGCAATGAGGCAGTCGTCTAAGTATGCGTATACAAAGTCGAGACCGCGAAATACTTCGTCAATGAAGCGTTGGAATGTTTGGGCTGCATTCCGGAGACCGAATGGCATACGTAGAAATTCAAAAAGTCCGAAAGGCGTAATGATAGCCGTTTTCGGGATGTCTTCTGTTGCCATCGGGATTTGGTTATACGCTTTAACCAAGTCGATTTTGGAGAATATAGTCGCGCCGGATAAGGTTGCCGTCAAGTCGTGTATATGAGGCAACGGGTAGCAATCAGGGGTTGTTTTGGCATTCACTCGCCGGTAATCACCGGTGGGTCGCCAATCGTTGCTATCCTTTTTCGGAACCATATGAAGTGGGGATGCCCATGGGCTATTCGAAGGTCGAATGATGCCAAGGGTAAGCATATGGTCAAATTCATTCCTGGCGATTCTCAGTTTGTCAGGAGCTAATCGTCGTGCTTTAGATGTCACAGGTTGTCCTGTGGTAATGATGTGGTGCATAACATTGCTGGTTATGCACGGTAGGTCGTTCGACGGGCAATTAAGTTCCGGATACTTGTCAACATAGGTTGAAAAGTTGGATCAAGGATTGCCTTTATCTTAACGGGTGACAAACTAGGGCCTATGTAGCTGATGCCTTTGATAGACAGACTAGTAGTATTGTCAATCAGTCGTTTTCGGCGGACGTCTACGAGTAAATCATGATGATTAAGTAGGTCCGTGCCAATGATGGGCATTGTAACGTCAGCGAGAAGGAAAATCCACCGAATAGGTTTGCGTAAACCTACGTTCAGATAGACGTATTTCCTACCAAAGGTTGCGATTGGTTTTCCATTTGCAGCCTGTAAGTTGAAGGTAGGTTCCTTCTGTCGATCTGCTGCTGTAGCAGGAAGGACGCTGACTTCGGCGCCTGTGTCGACTAAGTATCGAGTCTGGCTTATCACATCATGGATGTAAAGTAGGCGGCTAGTGCCACCGGCGACGGTTGCCGCTAACGCGTGCCGGCGGGATAGTTTCCCACAGACTTTGAGACATTTCCGAAGTTACAAGGCTTACGGCAACACTTCGCTTCTTGGCCATAGGTGTTGTGGTACCAGCACCAGTCAGGGTTTTTCAGTGAACGTGGTTTGGACTTAGATCGACCACGTGAGTTCCTGCGTTGAGGAGATTTAGGACGACGGTTGGAGGATTTAGAATGCATGTTTGACCTAAACATCTGCTGAAGGGAGTTGCATAACTCTGTCATTGCAGGATCCTCACTCGAAGTCTGCTTAGTCATTGAGCATATTTCGGGAACAGACCGTTTAGTTATTTCTAGAATCTTATCTGCAGTAATAGCTAAGTTCTCTATTACAGTACCCTCAAGTGTCACAAGTACGGTCTGTACAGATTGTGGCAACTTGGTTAAGAAGAGTTCTCTAAACAGTCCTTCGTCGAACTGACTTTGGCCGACGACTTGTTTCATTCTTGTCAGCATGCTCACGGCTGACTGATCTCCTAACTCGTATCTGAAAAGATGGGTACTGGGTTCAGGTTTTGGTGGGAGAACCATCACTCACTGGAAATGTAGGCACATCAAGATGACGAGTCTCAAAATAGGACGAAATTGGTGTCCTGAATTCCATACTACTAGTCATCATTCATCAAAACTATTTTTAATTCAGTTATTGATGCATACTTCCTTTGTGACTCGGTATTTTATACTCCCGCATATAATAAATACTCCATTCGCTTACTAGTTACTGTACAAATCATTATTTATAGGTTGAGGTATTTAGTGAAGATTTACTCTTTTCAGTGATACCATTCTCAAACTGTACAGTTAGATATGTATTCATAATAAATTTTGATAGCAACAAAAGGAATATTTGCATTCAAATGGTAAGTTTTAGATAAAAATTATGTAATACTGAGAGCGTTAATTGAGTAGCAACCAAAATAAAATTAAATAAGTAAATTTGATTGATCTAACGTAACTGATAGGTGTGAGTAGAGCTCAAATAAAGCTAAAACAGAGTCAGGTTAAGTTCAGCATCATAAGGAAGATAGAAAAATAGTAAACTTAACAAAAGCTATTTATTGAGTAGAGAGTAAAACCGGGTTCATTGTAAGTTCTGTATACTGAATTTAGGATTTATCACATGGATTACCACAACTTCTGAGATTTGAAGAAGTTTGATTCGTACTTTCTTAGCATGATCTCCATGTATTCTGCAGATGACTCTAAAGTTAATTTACGTAATTATCGAGTGTTCATAATCGACTAGGTGTTGCAGACTAGAGCTGCGTGATGGTCTTTTGAACTTTCAACTGCATAACTTGATCACCCTTGAATAGTAAGTTAATAAAGATAGCTTTCTTTGACACAGAAGCTGTCTTTTCAAGATGTGGTCTATCCTAACTGTGGCAAATGATAAAGTTTTCTGGATAACCTTTAGCTAATAAAACTCAATGTATATGTTGGATCTCACCCAAAAATTTGTCGCTTGCACGTATTTTCGGGCCCTCGAGAACAAACATTTCACTAGGGAACGTTTATACTGGAAAGGAACAAAACTGGTGAAATGAAGATATTATCCAGTCCATTTCTGCTTACGAAGTATAGATCACTTAACCGTTCCATCGTCTCTCCTAGTCATTGAAATATCCAAGACAGCAAGTTTGTTATTCGATTCGAATTTGGAAGTCATTCTAATATTTGGATGAATATGATTAAATAGAGCAGTAACAAAGTTATCAATAGACTTACTATTATTACCGATAATGAGTGTATCATCTAGATAACGTTTACATAGCATACATTTTCCTAGCATACCTTGAATTTATTTCTCTAATTTAGATGTGACCATATATCTGCTATTGTTATTACTATTATTAATTTTGCTTTTAGATTGCTGGCATAAGTATGATTATATACGGTGGATTCTTAATATGGAGTAAACGTACTGTTGACAGTTACATTGGTCAATATATTAATGCTACATTAATTCGTTTGCATGGGAAAAATATAACACTACTTAGACCAATTGTTTTGAATGCAGCATTAGACTATACAGGTAAATACTTTTCGGTTTCTAAATCTATATGCAACAGTGTATTTATTTTCATGATTAGGATTTGGTTTGTCTCAAGTTAGGTCATAGATCGGTGGCGGTTAGAGAACCACTGAAAATCAAAGAGTACTGAATAGATGCTTCTTCCTGGTTTGGGGCACTTCAACTGTTCACCCTACACTGCCGTCTTGTAGATTAAACTTCAAGTCAAACGCTCAGAGGAAGGTGATCCTTTAAGATAGCTATCTGCTTCGGTCTGGACGTGTCAACATTGTCCTGGCACTTGCACAAAATGAGACTTTTGTGTAGCCCATCTCTTTTTCTGTGAAAGGAATGCCGAGAAAATGCATAGCGCTGATTAAGGCACTCTACTTGAACTCATGCAGCCAGCAAGGTGATAGACTATGAGGATTTGTCATCTGAAGTGGTGACAACTCAGTGGTGTCTGTCGGGGATGCTCACTGTTTGTATAACTTCTGTTTAATTTCATCATAGATATTGTACTAATGGACTTAACCATAATTCACTTCAGCGAATCATGGGTTGACTTATTACCAGGGGATAATCTCGTTGACTTAGAATATGCAGATGATATAGTCCTTTTGGGGGAAAATGCTGACAAAATACAGCAGAGTCTTCTAGAAACCTTGAGCAACGATTAATATCAGAATGTTTGACATGTGACTCGCTTCTGTCAAATGTAAGATGATGCTACAGAGCTGGACTATATTGACTCCTAGCTTAAATATAGGGAGTGAAGTGGTGATGTTGACCACTTCACTTATTTGAGTAGTTGCATTAGCTAGCGCCAACGGTTTGATCGCTGACGAAATCTCAGCATGGATACAGAAGGCTCGTTTGACATATGCCAACATATACCGTCTCTGGTGTATACGTGATATCCAAATGTCAACCAAAAGATGGGTGCAGCTCTCAGCAGTTCGATCTATCCTTCTTGATGGCCGTAAGTTAGACACGGGCATTGAATGTTGAAGACATGAAAAGACTGGCCAGCTATGTTCGATCATAGGTGTCTGCATCCTACCTCCTGTGTTAAGTGATTTGATAAGGTTAGCAATATTAAGGTTAGGCTTCGGTCGAGTGCTAGGTAAGGCGGACAGGAAATCAGTCGACTAGGTTGTAAAGCAGCTGCATCGGTGGAAATGGCCGGGAAATGTGTTATCCACGTCTAACCATCGCCTTCCTCAACGGCCAATATTAGGTGACATAGGATGGATCAAGTTGAAAAAAGTTAGCTAGTGGTGGACAAACCAAAACATGGCTTCATCAGTCGATGAAATCCACAACAGTCAGTTTGAGCCATGTTATGAGGTGTAGACTTCCTGACTGGTTGCGGTCCTCGGGACGGTAAAAGTCAGTAGTTGGGAGTAATCGGTGGTATGGCTCAAAATTGTGCTCAATGGTTTTCGCAGATGTACTGAGTCTTTGTGATTTATAATATCCAGTAAAACTATATTGTTCTACGTTATTACTATTCTTTTTGCCTCATATTTCTATTTATTACTTGTCTTTTGATGAATCGCTCTTTACCCTGTTCTCTTGCTTTGTGTGCTAAGCGAAGTGTGGCAACTCGAACTGGTGTATATCTGTGCTAATTTCTATGTTGAAACAGGTCAATTAGTCAGTCAGCGCATCTCTTAGCGCCCATAATGTACAAATTTTTGGGGTTTTAATAATTCATTCTTCTCATCAGTAGGCATTGAAAGTGAGAATAACAGAGCAATAGTTACTCATTCATACACCTATTTGCACTTTGTTATGACGTTTTTTTAGTTCATTAGTAGGTTTGATTAGCAAACATTTTTACAAAAAGTACTTTCAATATATCTGACCATAAAGAAGGAAATGTTGATGGGTTGAACATAAGCTGGGGAGACTATGAGAACCTGATTTGAAAGCTACCAACTAGGCATCCAAGGTTAATGTAGAGGTCATACGAAGAGGAAATGACAGCTTGCGGACCACAATGTACAGCTAGATGACAGTGATAAAATTGTGATGCTGAGGCCCTATGTTCCATTTGCAGCCCAAAGGATGAATACATGACTGCAATATGTCACTTACCACACGAAGTTAAGCGAACACTTTATATCTCTGTCTATAAGAATGTGCGTCGGTGGCACAGTGGTTAGAACTCTCGCCGACAATGTACATGGTCCGAAGTTCGACACCCTGCCTACGCACATCTGATATCTATGGTCGGTCTGCGAAATTTGGGCTACCGATATCACATGCTGAAAATTCCATACCTGTACCAAAAATACAGTGTGGAATCAAGCTGTAATCAAAAGAAAGTAGAGAAACTAAAAAATAACAGTTATTCTGCGTTTCCAGTCGAAATGTCTTTCTTTAGTAGTTATTTGTATGGTTTAACTAAGGTATTAATTTATAATTTATGCTGAATAGATATCATGACGTTTTGAAGTAAATTTGAACTGTTTATTCCACTGAACCTACGCTGACAAGGTTTTATTTAATAATGATAATAATTTACTTTATTCCAAAAACAGTATTTGTAATATAGAATGGAATTCTCAGCATTTATCACAATATTGCGTCTGATGTACTTAAAATATAAATAAAAATTAAAAAATAAAATAAAACTAACCAGAGGGATTTGTCCACGTTTACGATATAAAGTCAAAAATATTCGAAGCACGAATTGAGATTATTAAATATAATAATAATAATAATGACAGTGAGTTTGTTTCAAACAGTATTGTCGATTCAGTTTGGAAACTTTAGCATGTTATATATTATTGGATTTAATGTTTTGTTGATATAGTATAGTGAGGGGAAATACAAAATAAACAGTTCTGACACACCTTAAATGATGTTCACACTTATGAAAAATAAATAAATGAAAACAAAACTTTGAGAAGATTGTGAATATAAGAAATACAATAACAATAACGTTTGGTACTGTAAGAGTGGAAGGAGTGGTTTGTTTAGTAGTGCAAAGAAGGCTAGTTAGTTCACGCCTGACACTAATTTCATCGCATAAAGTATGTGCTAAATATGTATAGTGGAAATTCTATACTTAGACGTACTTGGATAAGTTCTTCTGAAAAGACTTCTTGTTTTACCTGAAAAGGCACAAGGCTGGAGCTGCGCGTAGAGTCGGTGCTCAGAGTCTGACAAAATTTCTTTAGAAAATTTTTTGCGTGACATCAAGTGTCTATCACTGACAGTGTCAACGATATGGCCCAATGGAATACCACTCGTCCTACTGACAGTCTTCAGAGCAATCCAGGAAAGAATAAGGGAAAACAGTAGAGAAGAATTGGTAAAATACACAGGTTGACAAAGTGTAAGAGGAGGGGTTGGGTTATGCCTGAGTGCCTTAACTTCCTAATGTAAAAAGTCAGATGAAATATTCTTTTAGAAATCGGTAAGACATGGGAAGACCAGGATAGGTGAGAAGAAAGAATTAATCCAAGATAGTTAACTTCAGACTTGGTTTCTATATCAGTATCATCAATTTTGCAAGGGTCATAGGAACCAACGGCTTCATTTAACTTTCGTTTACATCGGAAACTGAAATTATTATTAGTTATTTTGTAGACTCCTTCAGCTACCGAAAGCTTTTACTTTAAAAATTATCCATCCGAGAATTGAAGTCAGAGGATGCTCTGCCTAGTGGCCATTATAATCAGCTTACTTTTTAAATGAAAGCGTTATTATTTAGTTATACTTATTATCTGTGTATTGGTGGTTCACTGGTAAAATACTTGCCACCTAGGCCAAACTTAGTCCTCGGTTCGATCCCCGGCTAACCCATGGTCAAACCTAGATTAATCTTGTAATAATCCAAGCAGAGGTTGAGGACTCAGCGTAAGGCTTTTGTTAAATGCTCACAAATGTACTGAGTAGTTGACGGTTCCATTTGAAAGGAGGAAATCATTCCCTACTACAACCATCTTTTCATTTTCCCTTAAAAAATTCTACATATACATAAAAGTTTCTACTTAATCATTATGACTTTTAATGCTCGCTTCAGGCATTATAGGTACAGGATTATTTCTATGGGGAATGTTTTTAATACTGATAATCAGCTGCGGTATATGGGGTATATTGATGAAAAAATATATGGCAATGTACTTGGTAAGTAATTTAATACTGCTCGTTTTTATCTATTTTTTTACCAGTCTATAATTTAAAGGGTGCATTGGTGGTACAGAGGTAGAATACTCACCAACCACGCAGGTGGTTCGAGGTTCAATCCCTGGCCACTGACGCACTCTTTTACCTCGCTAAGCCAGTGAAAAGACTGGAGAAGAGGGGAGGTTGGACATAGGGCTAGCAACCCCACCCGGTAAAAATAAACACAACTACTACCGAAACTTCAAAGCCAGAGAAGCTTGAAGCCCTATGTTCCACTGGGAACGTAAAGGAATTAAAAATTGACTTAATGGGATTTCAAATCTTTAAATATTCCCATTTATAATATTAGAAAAAGACATATAAGCGAACAATATTGTTTTCAATTAGATCTTCTTCAGACTTTACTCTAATTTACATAATTTTATATTTAAAGACTTTAAACCAATGACTTTGTTTTAGCGAATCAAATAATAATAATTATTATTTTTCCTTCACGTTCCCCAGTGGAACATAGGGCTTCAAGCCAGTGGATTGAAGTTTCTGTAGCAGTGTTTATTTTACAGGATGGGGTTGCTAGCCTCATGCCAAACCTTTCCTCTTTACCATCATTATTTTTGGCTCAGTGAGGTAAAAGATTGCGTCGGCTGGGGGTCGAACCCCGGACAATGTTCATAGTCGGCGAGCGTCCTAACCGATGTACCACCGACGTTAAGTAATAATGATAATAATAACAATAATGTGGTAAATGTTTTGAAGGTCAGTAATAAACCTTATTATCAATATTTTGTTATCATTATAATCATCGTTATTAACTTCGTTCAAAACATTTACCACATTGTTATTTGATCCACGAAATCCCCGTCATTGGTTAAAAATTTCTATATATATACATCTATGTAAATTAGAGTAAAGCCTGAAGAAGATCTAATTGAAAACAATATTGTTCTAATATTAAAGGGATTTTCCTATTGGCCTGGTATCGTTCAAAAATGATTGAATTAATACTGATAAATTTTAAAATGCACTAGTAGAATACTCGCTGACCACACCGCACAGGTGGTTGGCAGTCAAATCTCAGGCGATAGCCACGTTAACCTTGATTAGTCGGTGGTATGCCGTATAGAGAAGGAGGATAGAGACCCTATTCCGTAAATACAGCTCTGCTAATATCTCACACTTACAGTTTTAGCTCTATGTGTCATTATGAGCACAAATGGACGAAAAAAGCTAACTGCTGATGAGTATTCAAAATATTGTGTGAAAAAAAAATAGTTCAGACGGAAAGTAATTATTTAGTTCTTTGAATTTGTAGACTGCTTAATTCCATTATGGGTGAATTTTGTTTTGATAAAGTCTCACAGTGTTATACAGTAATCTTTACTGATTATGTTTCGAGCACAATTTATTACCGCTCATAATCATATCAAGGCACTACTTACACGACTTCCTAACTTCATCTATATAGTTCCATTATTTTTCACTTGATTTCATTGGTAGTAGTATTTTCCGTATTTCAGGTGTGAGCGATGAATCATTCCTATTGAATGTGTCGGGTGTAGAATCAATGAACTAGGATTCAGTAATCGACCTCTACCTACCTAGATTACTTTTTAGAACTTTAACCCACTCCCACCCTATTATGTAGTTGTGTGTTAATGCATGCATTGAAATTGCTGAGCTTTTTTCTAAATTACGCATATTTTCGGGGTCAACCATTGTTACCTTAGCTACTGAATCCTAGTTCATCGAGTCTACACCAAACACACGCAATAGGAATGATACATCATTCATACCAGAAATATGGAAAATACTACTACCAATCAAATCAAGTGAGAAACAGTGGAACCACATAAGTGAATTTAGGAAGTCGTATGATAACCCTGATATGATTGTGAACAATAAATTTTGCTTGAAACTTGGTCATCAGTAAAGATTACTGTATAACACTGTGAGACTTTATCAAAACAAAGTTCACCCAAAATGGAATTACACTCTACCACAGTTCACCAGTTTTATTCTTATATCAATGTAGACTGCTTAAATGTTCAGTATGATAAGGTTTAAGTTGGTAAGATCTCTCAGAAACGACCTACTCTTTCAGAACCAAAATAATTATAATAATCACTTTATTCTGAACAGTATTTATGTAATGTACAGAATTTTCTACCGAATTTATTGCTTAGTATCTTTTCATCGGCCAGGATCAGCGTTGTTTGATCTAAAAGGCAAACCACAGTCCCTTTAGATGTATTTATCCTTGTCTCCTTCAAGAAATGCCCGACATTTGGTTGAAAGGCAACTGAATAAGTCGAGGGAGAACATTTTTTGACCTGAAGAGATAACTGAATAATTGGAGACTGAAGTTAGTGAGTTTCACTTCTCAGGCAGTGGCAACTTGTGTTGGGAAACGTTGCCCCTGCACCCTTCCCAAAAAACGATTATGCTCTTACTCAAGTTTAGTGGAAATTTCCGAATCATCAGATTGTAGCGTGAAAAGGAAAAAAAGATGGGAAGTTAAACACTAGTTTCTACGGGAAACCCACACATTCAAACAGATATTTGGATTTCCAATCATCCCACCCTAAATCGGTAAAAATAGGATTGATGAAATGTCTAAATAGTAGAGCACAAAAACTAAGTTGTACCAAGGAAAACCAAGGACAGGAAATGAGGCATATAAGAGAATCTTTGAAACTTAATAATTATCCTGATAAACTAGTCAGAAAGTATGTAGGGAAATGTAAAAACAAAATAGATAACGGTAGTAGTGATAGTAATAATAATAATAGTAATATTAATGACTACATGCATGTCAAACATGCTCAAGACAACACCACCGATAAGGAATCGAAATCGTCAGTAGTAATTCCATACAAGGAAGGAACCTCGGAAACCTTACGCAGGATTCCTAACAAAGCAGAAATAAAAGTGACATTCAAATCTACAAACGCAATTAGAAACAAGCTTTGTCGGCTAAAGGATCCTGTGGAGCCTTTGAAAGAAACAATTTAGTTTATCTAATATCCCGCAATGATTTTCAGGTCAAACACATAGGTCACAGTAGTAGAACAGGGGCAGTCAGACTACCTGAATATAAAAACCTAGCGAAATCTAGATTGGTTGACCCAAATAAGATAAGAAATCTAGGGAATAGTTCAGCCGTAGATAGCACTACATGCAGTTACACACAACCATACAATAGGATGAGATAGGATGACAGTTTTAAAATGTGATGTCACAGGGTGGAGGGAGAGATTGATAACACAAGCCTTGTTTATCGAATCAGCTGCAAACATATGTAACAGAAATGATTCGACACCTGTCCACTCAGATATCTGGAAAATTCTACTACCCCAACGACGACAAATAGGAGAAAACAAAGAAAGCTATAAAACTCAAATTTCTAAGTTACCTGGTGCTATAATTGGCATGATTATGAACAGTAATAGATTGTGTTCGAAACTCTGTCATTCAGTAAATAATACTCTTTCATTGTGTGATATACCAAATATTCAAGTATTGGTTTTGTAGGGATTTTGTTTGATTGCATGGAGGATTTAATCATGAGCTGACATCAGTTAGAGAACCACTGGAAAACCTGGGAGTACTGTATAGCTGTTTCATCCCTACAAAACCAATACTTGAAAATTAATCTGATGCTCACTAGTGACTGGCCCTATTCAGGCAGTTAACCTGGGGTTCTAGTGGGAAGCCGTGACCAGTAGGGTACAGCAGGTTGAAGATGAGGCAGTAACTCATCGAAGGAGACATTGCGAAGTGGTCGCACTATGTCGTGAATTGGCAGAAGTTAGAATTCAAGGACTATTGGATCGGGTCCCAGTGGCTCAATGGTCTACGAGCTCGCCTTGTAACCAGAAGGTCCTGGGTTCGAACCCCGGTGGGTGCGTACTGTGAAGAGTCCCAAACTAGGACGAAACAGCTGTCCAGTACTCCCAGGTTTTCCAGTGGTTCTCTAACTGATGTCAGCTCATGATTAAATCCTTCATGCAATATACCAAATAAACAAACTAGTGTGGAATTACATACTACCACAATGCCGAAGTTTTACACATATATTGGTAGAAAATACCATTAGAGTTCATGTATATTTGATTAAAACCAAGTGAAGAAGAGAAATTATATTCAGGTTTTTCGGTCGCCTAAGGTTTAACTGTTCATTTTCTTTGAAGAAAACAAAAAACTGTTTTATTATTATTATTCACACAGCCTGTTTATTCAAAGAGTGATCAATTTTCATCTACTTAATTGTAATTTAGAACCATCCAACTTTTAGGTTGGGAAATAGTTATGATGATAGCCTATGGTTATTTAAATTGTACTTAGTTGGTGTTTTTTTCTATTCCTTCGCGTTTCCAGTAAAACATACGGGTTCGGGTTAGAGATTTTGAAGTTTCGGTAACGGTGGTTTTTTTTACTTTTAGGGGTTGAGGTTGCTAGCTTCATGGCCAACCTTTCCTCTTCACCAGTCTTATTATACTGGCTTAGGGAGGTAAAACAGTGTGTTTACAGCTGGGGATCAAACCCCGGACCACATGAGTAGTTAAAGAACATTCTGCCTCCGTAAAGAAACTGTCAAAGAAATGTAACACATAGTAAGTGAACACAGAAATTTCACTAAATTTTGAAAAAACGTGATATTATTGAACGGTAGCCTGCTTCGACTACTTGGTTATCTGATCGAGCATCCGTGAAAATGTATCAAATTGACTCTAACTTATATTGCATATCTGAATCACAATATATACCCTCTCTGTCGACCACATTCAGCCTACTGCTATAATTGTTCTGAAGGAGAATAGACGAAAACACTATGAGGTAGCGGGAAAGGCTTCGGTTGAAACAATATTTCATTTTTTCAAATGTTATACTACTGATTATTATTTGACTTGAAGGAGTAAAATTCTTAGCAATAAAAGACACTAAAAATTCTGTACTATATATAAATGCATTTATGATAGCGCAGTTATCATTGTTATTATTATTAATCATTGCTACTGAACGCGAATACGATTTGGGTCCAAGTGAAAGTTATATATACAGTATTCAATGTACTTTTTTGTATGCTTTTTGGAGTTTTCTATAACGGTAGTACTGATTTCCAAGGGTAGGGTCCGCACTAGCTCCACTCTCAGTGTTCCATCTTTTTTCTGTTTTGGGACCGCCTAATAAACTAGTAAACTAGGCGAGGTTATGTCCAGTGTTACATAAAATCAAAGATCTGTGCATAAAATACCAGGAAGCTGATAGAATACACGGCTAAGAGAGAACTTTAAGTGAACATAAAGAAGACAAAGTTGCTGAATATATCTAATCGACAGCAATAAGCATCAGTCACCATCAAGAGGGAAAATTTGAAGAAAACCGCGTCTTTCATTTGTGTAAACAGGAGCATTTCAACTACATGCAGCCGACACAGATGAGGATGTCAACGTCAGGGTCAGAAAAACAAAACAAACGATTCGTCTGAAATCAGTGTAGAAATCCATTCTACTAGGCATAAAGGACAAGGTGTGGATTTTTAACATTGTTTTTAAGTTAGACAGGGATTCTGTATAGTTCACAGACTTGGCTGGTTGTTAAAAGCATTTCAAACAGATTACCGCAGACTTTTGTTAACGGCTAATTTTTCTTTTCACAGACGGTAATATAGCCATAAAAGATTATCAAAGTTGAAAATTTGTGAATGCATCAACCAAGAGCCTGTACTCCAGTAAATATGCCTAAGAAATAAGAGACGGTAGTAGATATTTGCAGGAAATCGACAGGAAGCTCAGCCTGACCTAGGTTTCATGCTAGTTGGCACTCGTCATCAAGGCCTATCTGCAACTGCCTTGAAGGAACTCATGTCTCTGCTGAGATTCGAACCCGCGTCACCCAGTGCTGCAGTCAGAGACGTTGCCATTGAGCTATTCAGGCTCAACTATCTAATATCATCAAATCGATGTTCACCGTGATGGCAGGCTACCCAGAATGTTGGCCACATTGCAAACATGACTGATAGAATTCAGTCAGCACCAAGAAAAGGACTAGACACGTCACACTAATTACTAGTGTCCAATGAAAATAAGAGGCGGATTGAACACACTGTGAGAAGACTGTTGAGTGACGTCACACGACAGGCTCTAGAGGCAAATCTGATTGGGAAACGACAAATCGGGTATGGGTAAGAGGGTGACATTGGAGGAGGCTGTACGAGGAGGGAATGAAAGCTTGTGAATAACAGTGGAGCTTGTTGTAAAGGATTCTAGAAAACAAGGTGGAATAGAAACGTCCTACCAAAACCATTTGTTACACTCGGAACCCAATAATAATAATAAAATGAATGAAATGAACTCAGTAATATTTTAAGTAAATGGATGCAAGTTAATTACTTTATTTATGTTTGAAATGAGTAAATACATTTAAAATTACTTATTAGAACTGAAAGAAATCATGGGGAGATTTCAATATGTCCCGTTTTTCCCTCTTTTTGCCTTCTGGTTCTTCTGTTTACAGTTCACAGCTGTTGTGTTTGCAAAATGTCTAATTATGTTCATTATGACTCTTTGTTTCGCTATCAATCCAGTTACTGTAAGTGTTGGTACTGATTTAAGTATTTTAACTTATATACAACTGAACAATATAAAGTTTTTCTCATTTAACAAAGCATGATTATATTACAATATTATTCTTAGTAATATTACTTCTCATACTACTGAAAGAAATAACTAGCCAAAGATGAAATTTTACAATCTTGCTGTATTTTGAAATAGTTGTGTTCTTTGAGTTGGGCGATTCAACTGCAAAGATTTCGTTGTCGGCCTTCTAGACAACATTTTTAGCGCAAGCTTTACTATGAAGTGAACTCATTTGAATTTTCCATAAACGATGATATAACTGTATCTCCTGACAACCATTGTCATGATTGGTTGTTAATTTGCATTTCTATCGATCGTTTTGATTGACTTGGAATTTAAAATTTCTTGTCATGCTGCTTATTCCTTAATGGTTGATAAATTTGACTAAAAGTAATGTGTCTACAGGATTTCATCATGAGCTGACATTAGTTAGAGAACCATTGGAAAACCTATGAGTACTGGACAGCTGTTCCGCCCTAGTTTGGGACTCTTCAGCAATACTCACCCACCGGGTGGCAAATTAGGACGAAACAGCTGTTCAGTACTCCCAGGTTTTCCAATGGTTCTCTAACTAATGTCAGCTCATGATGAAATCCTGTAATCAATCAAATCCCTACAAACCAACACTTGAATAGTAATGTGTCTGTTGATCGGTAATTCATTTAAGCAACCAGGTTTCAACGAATTCTGTGGTATTTTCAACGTTTCCACTGTTTAAAGTTATCTACATTATACCAGTCTTATTGGTGCTCATAGTTGTCTATACGCATTGATATGATAGAATTTATGTCGTGTCTTTTGACAGTAAGTATATGTTCTTAGACTGTAAGTTGAAAGGAACCAATATAGTGTTTATCTCACTTCAGACGATTTAATTTGTAAATGGTGTTGACCTTGTCTTCTTTGGCTGTTTGGTAGGCTTTCTGTCTGCATAGCATTTGTTGAAGTGTTTATTTCTCTCACCTCACTTATTGATTACAGACCTAATTTTCCCTTTCCCCACTTATGACCTTTGAAATTCTATTTGTTACTGGCTGTTTCAATTTATCAATGTATTTAGTGACTCCCAAGGTCATCTAAAGCACATATATATATATATATATATATACGCAGACCTTCATTAACAGTTGTCTTCGCTCAGTACTCAAGATCAGATGGCTGACCAGAAAAGATCAGCAACAGGAATCTCTGGCAGTGAGCGAACCAACCAGGAACCGATTGCGAAAGAAATAGACAGGGAGAAATGGAGATGGATTGGCTGGCCGTACGCTGAGGAAACCATCAAGTGACATCACTAGACAAGCCATTGCTCGAGTGGAACCCGAAAGGGAAGTGGCGAGTTGGTCGTCAGGGCAAGGGTGACTTGGAGGAGGAGGTCATGTGAGGAGGAGATGAAAGCATGTGGGCAGACTTGGAGTGGAGTGAAAAAGTTGGCAGAAAACAGAAGGCAATGGAGACGCGCAGATAAAGCCCTATGTTCCTCTAGGAATTAAAGGATATAATAATAATAAATAATTATATATATATATATACGCAAGCGCCTTCAATCATTTTAGCTTTTGATATGAAACAGTAAAAGCTGTCCACGTCAACAGTTTTCAGTTTTCTCTTTTTGTTTTCTTGCGTCATGTTTTCTGTGGTATTATTGTTGTTAATAGGGGTTAGGATGTTAAGGTCATGGATCGACTAGATAGGAAATTCGTTAACTCAACTATCTAGTGTAACAACGGTTATATCACTTCATGGTTTCCAATGGTGTCTCACAGGTGTTGGTTCGTGATGAAACCTGCATAGAAATAAATCCAAGTCCTTGCAAAAACCCACAGCCCGAATAATACCGGTCTCCAGCTAATTAATAATAGTAATAATCTACTTTATCCTAAAAATGGTACTTATAATACAGAATGGAATTATTGTCACAATATTACATCTGATTTACTTAAAATATAAATAAAATTAACTAGGGGAATTTGTGAACATTTATGGTGTAAATTCAGAAATATTCGAAGTACAAAATGAGAATAATAAATCTAATAATGGAAAATTTGGAAATTTTAGCGTGTTATGGAATATTGAATCTAATGTTCTGTTGATATAGCCTGGTGATTGGAATGACAAAAAATAACACTTATTGTACATCTTGAATGATGTTTAAACTTATTAGAAAAAACCCAAAAAATTGAGAGGATTTGAAATAAAAGAAAAACGAAAACAATAAAGCTTGGTGAAATAAAGATGGAGAAAATGATCTATTTACTAGTGCAAAGAGTCGGCTACTACTGGATGGATGCCTTGAAGCTGTACCGCGAATTTGTGACGAGTGAGGTTCAATATATCTAGCTGAGGTGGATGCTCATCCATGGTACTGATTAGTGGTCCTTCTATATGACACAGTTTGACAAAGTTGGGATTCAACGGTCATCAAATCCTTGCCTGATTGGCTAAATGGTCAACGAGTTTGGTCTTTTAATCTGAAGGTGTCGGGCCCAAATCCTGGTAGAGTCGTGGGTTCTCAATGCTGAAGACAGTGCTCCCTGAGTTTCAATGTTCCTCAGTGGTCTACTACGTTATTTCATATAGTACCGGTCGGTGTATAATATGATATGAACATTAATTATTAATATTAATTAATATTAATTGAAAAAATAATTCTTCTAAAAGGAATGAACACACATTTCTTAAAATCTCTTTTTCCCTTTTCCATTTATGATCAAATTAAAAAATATAACTGGATAAGATGATGTACAGTTTTAAGACTTTAACCACGGAGTATGTTGAGAACTATGTATCGTCAACATCAATCGATCATTATAGTCTTTTGCTGAATGTTTTAATGTCACAGGTAAGAAATATTATTATTTCAATTATTTGAATAAGGTATTAAGAAGACAAATTTCGAGAGATGACATCGTCATTTCGTAGTTTCTTTACAACCGCTTTACAACTAACATGGTTAACAATAATAATAAAATAAAGTTCATGACAATTACTCAGTTGAATAAAAAACAAAAGTGCATACTAATGACCAATCATATTAAGATAGGTCATGTAGTCCATGGTAGGCAAGGATTGAAGTCTGTTGTTTTTTGTACACATAGTTTAGGCGGTATGTGATTAATCCCCCAAAGTTCTTCCATCACCTTCAATAACGAACCTTGAATTAGAGTTATGCGAAATAATTGTGAAACAGTCGTTAATACTGATTTTGTGATCTGACATTAATAAGTGTTTTGCAATGGATGATACTGGATTTCTATTAAGATTAATCGCGTTAGGATTTTCGATATGATTTACTAGCCATTTTGGAACATGTTCTTTTCGACGACATTGGAACATTCTGTTAGTTCTACCTATATAGGTGTCACCGCAGCTGCAGGTGAACTTGTAGATACAGTTTGAAGTAGAGTCCACAGAATTTCGTCCTTTAATCGTAGGTAAAGGGATCAAAAATGTTCGGCAAATGAGAAAAAGAGATGTGGCGGCGTAGAATGTGCGTTTGATGGCTAATCTAAACCTTTGAGCTAGCTGTCAACTGCATAATCTGGTCGCCCTTGAATGGTAGGTTAATAAAGATAGCTAACCTTCTTTGGTACAGAAGTTGTCTTTTTGAGATGTGGTTTTTCTTTACTGTGACAACTGATAAACTTCTCCGGATAACCATTAGCTAATAAAACTGAATGTATGTATGTGTCGAAACTCATCCATCAATTTGTCACCATGGACAACATGACCTATCTTAATATGATTGGTCATTAGTATGCACTTTTGTTTTTTATTCAACTGAGTAATTGTCATGAACTTTATTTTATTACTGTTAACCATGTTAGTTGTAAAGCGGTTGTAAAGAAACTACGAAATGACGATGTCATCTCTCGAAATTTGTCTTCTTAATGCCTTATTCAAATTTACCAAAGTGACTTATTATTTTAAATTTCTATTATTGTTATTTTCAAAAGAATTGATACTGAACAAAGAGTACTCTTTTCGATAAATTCATCATCAGGCTCTACAGTTATATATACATTATGGTGAATGAATGATAATTTCCTTTTCCGGGCCTACACTATATATATATATATATATATATATATATATAATATTCTAGAATAAGTGCCACTAACAATATTCGCGTTTTTAAATACTATCGAATTTTTAAGCACGATCAGTGGAATTACAGTTCACGAAGGATATATAAATTATGATGAGCACAAAAATATAACAGTAAATAGAATATTAAATAAAATTAAGGAAATTTCTGCAACAAACTGAGGACCGCTAAAAACTTGATGACTATGAGGGTAAGGAGAGTGTCTGAACAATCGTTCGTTTGGATATATAAGTTAGGTTGTGCTGTGCATGACTTTGGAATCTTGTGTCACCTATCCACTAGAGCAGATAGAATAGAACTACGAATGGATTTTGTTTGTCGCTTACTTAACCACTTTCTCAGATAGTGTTCGGAAATCCATCAATAAACACGTCTAATTGTATGGCCTATGTAACTGGTTCTACAAAAGCAGTCAAAATGATAGATGCACATAGAAGGGACGAAATCAGGTAGATTATCTTTAACTCCCGACCGCAAAATAGTAGAAGTTTCGAAGATACAGCATTCTTCAGCCACAGTAAATGTTCTTTCTACCGAGTTCCGAATGCACTGTGTATTACTCATGTTATCTAGGAGGAACTGAAGTTGTAAGAACAAGGCCTTTTTCTGAACTGTTGATACTTTGGCATGCCTTTACTTTTGATTCCGATACTTATCGATGAATGTTTCTGGGTAACCGTTCTTACTCAACAAGTTTTTAATAATATAAAGCTCTTAACAAGTCAATAGTATTTAAAAGCACCAATATTGTTAATGACCATTATTCTAGAATATTCTGTGTATATAAACATATATATACATAAATATATATAATTGTAGAGCTAGAGGAGGAAATTATCGAAAAGGATATTCTTTGCTCAAATTTTCTTTTGTCTCCTAAATGTCTGAGTGAATATTTTCGCCATATTGTTATTTTATTTGTTTAAATGATTTCTTTACTTAAAAGACAAATAAACAGTAGGTGACTGTCACTGCCCAGTAGAAGGTGAGTAAAACTTCTTCCGCGTTAGGCGCTTTGGCTACTGGGTTCAGGTGTAATTGTGAACACAGTTTCTCAGATAGGGAAGCAATTAGATCTAGATGACGAGTTCCCAAATGGTTGAAATGCACCTAGGTATTCTATTACTAGCCACCTCCACCAGTCAAGTAACTTGAAGTTATTAATCATGGTCGTATCGACAAATCCGTTCAAGGGGCCTTTAATTCTGAGTTAGAAACGATCAGTCTCAGACAGACATTCTAATGGGAAATCGGAAACATGAATAAATAAATAAGTATTTGATATTCGAATGTTCTGATGTTATTCATCTAGTTGGTGTACAAAATCACTGGAAAGCAGGCAGCTATTTTACTCATACAGAAAATATCAACTCAAAACAAATTCAAATCAGAAAGGAAGCTATTCCTGTATCTTCATTGAAAAGCTGTAAAACGACTAAATTTGAGCTAACAGCCTGCAGATTATCGACTTCGCAATTCGCTCAGCGTAAAGATGCAAGTTTGGCTAATAATTCAGTGGCGAGCAGTTCGAATCTGGCATTGACACAGGCCTTTATTTCATACTGAATTAGTCCTTACCTACTAAACTAAGGTTTCATCACTATTGTCGTTAAGAGAGTAACTTTTTCGGTTGAGTTCTCTCTTTTTCACTTATTTAAATCATGGTTATACATGTCCAAACCGAGTTCACTTTTAACAGTTTGAATAAATTTGGGCATAGGGTACATGATATTCATTATTATAATAGTTCTATTTGTATTTCCTAATGAATGAAGAACAAAACGACATTGTTTTTACTGACGTTTCGCTATTTAATGCTGATAATAGCTTTATCAAAGTATTACTAAACCGAAAGTTACAAAGTCTCAGCATATATATAACAAAAAGTTAAGAAAAGTTAAGGAATCTGGTTGAACTAGAAAAACTTGAAAGATCAGCCATAGATCAGGTCACAAAATTGATTTTGACAATATTGAAATAGTCCAGAAAAACTTCAGAAATCACAAAGGACGTCTAATATCAGAAGCCAGCACTTCATATCAAGTGGAATTCAAATTTAAAACAAGCAATAAAGGTTAATAAAGTAGGATTTAATGAATTCATCAAATTTCTGTAGAACTTGTCAGCTGAGATGTTTTGTTATTGAGGATTTTGGCACTTTGCACTCAGCTGTTTTGCCAAAATGGTTGAAAACAGCTGAGTGCATAGTGCCAAAATCCTCAATAACAAAACATCTCGTGGATTACGGACATGATATCGACGCGGTTAATTCATTCACCATTGTCAGCAAACAAAGAAACAAGAAGATGCTTGCAATTGCAGAGGCTTGTGAAATTCGAATTTATAAACCAGCTCTCTGTATACAAAAGGAGATGGTCGTGACTCTTAATCTACCATGGTAATAAGTTTTATTCTCGACTTGTTATTATTCTACCTCTTCTTCTTATTATTACTGTTACTATTATTATCACTATTATTATTCTTGATTCATTTAAATCTATGCTTTATCCGTAAGATTATCTTAACTCACTTCAACACTATTAAAATTGTCATTATAACTATTACTATTGATATTAGTCTGTTTGCAATTCTCGTTATATTCCCTAATGACTAATTGTTTATCTAAGTGATGTAATTGAAGCGTAATGCAATTTATCTTAATTTCGATCTCTCATATTCTCTCTCGCCTTATCTATTTGAACATGACCTGTAAAACATTCGCACGTGTCTTTCTGCATGACTAATTCAATGTAGATTATTTACTTATCAGTCTTATATCTCCCAATGTAATTTCAAAAGTATATATATATCCGTGTATGTAGAGTGTTCAGCTGACAAGTTCTACCGAAACTTGATGAATTCATCAAATCCTGCTTTATTAACCTTTATTGCGTGTTTTAAATTCGTATCGGGAATTCAAATTGCCTGAATAGGAATGATGGACTAAAACAGAATCTGACCTGGTTACAACACCTCCCTCCTCTCCCCTACGAAGTGATAAAAGCAACACGAATGTGATAAGCAAGTTCACTATACAAACACACACTACTTTTATAATGTTACACACTGATCAAGCCCAACAATCTTTACCAGTTGACCAAATTGATAACGAAAAATAACGCCAGAGTGACGAACGATGATCAAGTTAGTAAACTTTATGGTAATATCATAACAGACGTACTTTGTTACTTGGTTTAGTGATCTTCATTGTTATTTTGACTTTTAATATGTCCCTTTAAGTCGACCTAAGTAGTCTATTTTCTCACCTCTTAACTTTTTATTATATATAGCTGAGATTTTGTAAATTCCTGTTTAATAATACTTTGATAAGGCTATTAGCGGTATTAAATAGCGAAACGTTAGTAAAAACAATATCGTTTTGTTTTTCATTCACTGGGAAATACAAAAGTCTTTATAATAATAAATCATGGTTAATTGAATTCCAGTTAGCCTACAACTATATATGTCATAGTAGCAATTCATTGTGAACCTGCCCTAAAATTTCTGTTGAAAAAGAACCTATGAAACTCTGCACAGAAGTAATACCTTAGTGTGTGGATTTTTATCTTGCCAGTTTATGCACAAAACATTTAACTGTTAGGTTCTCAGTTAGAAACTCAATTGATCTACATAGATTTAGACATCCAGATATCATGCATGATACAACAGCTAGGATTCATAGTTAACCTCAAAAGTTACATGTGATTTCTGAACACATTTTTCTCATGTATTAATAAAACTACGTAGTGTCATTTATTTTTGGTAACACTCAACTTACTACAAAAACAAATAATAAGTTGCACTCCTTATTTCTTTCAAAGATCTCATTTTAAAGTTGTGTGCTATTGGCAAGCAATAAACAACAGTTTTTTAACTGTCATCGAGATACTAGCTCAAATGTTAGAATTGCTCATTTGGCATATGAGGAATACTAGGATCAATGCTCGCGTAATGCAACTGGCCTCGTCACTACATGCTCATTAATCCCTTGACCGTTCAGTGGATCTGCGACTATTCAGGGAATCAAGGTTCAATTTCTGGCTGACTTACTCCGTGTATTTTCCCAGCTGATAGTAATAAAGAAGGTCGAGTTTGAGGCTGGCAAATTTACCTGTAACAAACAACACTTCCGCCAGTAAAAATTCAAAGTTTAGTACTTGGAGCCCTAGGTTCCATGAGGGAAGTAGGGAATAGAAGAAGGTTTTTAAACCATTAGTTAAATATTTACAGTATTGAAGTTATTCGCGTTTGTGAATTTGATAAATGAGGCTAACGTTTACGATGAATGGATGATTTTAATGCATTTTGGCTTAACAATTTATAACTGTGTAGGCTTTTTTCAGTTTTTGTGCTCTAAGTGGAATATGGAGCCTCAAACTTTAGCTTTGAAGTTTTAGTATCGGCGATGGTGTTGTACTAGCGAGATGGAATCGCTAGCCTGATGCCTAACTTTACTTCTGTTCCGGGCTTACCATCGGACAATGAACTAGGTGAAGTTTTGGAATATGTCTACAGAGAATCCGATTCTGCCCACGTGCGCAGCTGGAAAGCTTATTACCACTGAGCCAACAACGCTTTAAAGTAAGAAGCACTAGACAGTCAGCTATTTCGTACTACCTTGTGATGCCTCAACAGCGCGCACACGTGACTTTACGGGAGGTTGAAACTACAACTATCAGGTTGCCGGACGAGTGCTTCGACTACCCAGATAACGGGTTCCTTTATATACAGTCATTTATTTTCTAGGTTTATTTCAAGGTTAAAACTATCCAAGGAAATAGCTAGATAAGTCTATATACAACCTATTTGTATATTCACTGTATTGTTATACTGATGCTACCGAACTGTAATCCACTGATATTGTTATTAATTCGATGTTATTCAAACAACATTAATGTTGCTAATAACCCTAATTCGTGTGCCTAGTCCTTTGTTTACTGTAGACTGAATTCGATCAATCAAGTTTAAAGTGTAGCTTTCATACTACGGATATTAATTCCTTCAAGATTGCAGATACACCCTGCTGACTGGTAAGTGCCGATAGCCCAAAACCTAAGTTCAAGGCTTCCTGTCGATTGCCTCCAGCCATCTGATAACAACAATCCTGAATGCATCGTGATGGCAAGCCATCTAGCATGGTGGTCACACTGCACACTTGACTGATAGAATTCAGGCTATACAAAACAAAAGACTTGACGAATGAAATTAGTTAGCGTCCAATCAAAAGCACCTAATACACCATTACAGATAGTCAACCGCGAGCCTGGATAACCCCGCGGTGACGCAAATTCAACTCTCAGAAGGGACATGAGTTCCTTCAAGGTAGGAGATACGCCTTGCCAACTGGCGAGTGCTAATTATCACGAGACCTAGGTCAGGTCAGGCGTCCTTCCGATAGCCATCAGCCATCTAATAACAACACTAATTCATTCACGTCGTTGTCGACAGGCACTTGACTTCATGCAATAAATTTGCTAAAGGGATTTTGTCTGACTTGGAGCATCCACTTCACCCTCAGCTTTCACCTTGCATCTCCTCAGGTAGAACAAGGAGTAACTTCAGAAAACTGTATGCTCGCACGTCTAAGTATAAGAATTCTATGATACCATACTTGGCACGTATTTTATGTGATGATGAAAATAGTGTCAGGCAAGAATTAACTAACCTTTTTTCATCTAGCAAATAAACAATTTCCTCCATCCATCCTTATATACCTTCAAGTTTTACTTTTATTATTTCTATTATATTTATGGTCCTGTTACTTCTCTGTTTTTTTACTCTCAGAATTGTAAACACCAACTTATCTCCATGACTGCTGAAATTTTTGTTTTTCCCATCCCCATATTATGTAAAGAGAACATTATATTCAATGTTTTTAAACATGTTAGGATTTTTATACCACATTGCCAATACTGTGTGACACAAGCCAACGGCAATTTTCATTTGTATTCTTATTATTATTACCCTAGCTGTTATCATTATTATTGTTATTTCCATTTTATATGCTGCATGTTTTTGACACTACCTCTATTGTAAATGTGGAAAATTTTCTGTGTGATTAATTTTTATTTATAATTTGAGGAAATTAGATGCAATATTGTGATTAAATGCTGAAAATTCCATTCTGTATTACAAGTACTGTTTTTGGAATAAAGTAAATCATTATTATTATTATTATCACTATTATGCATTTGTAACTGTAGAACCTGATGATGAACTTATCGAAATCGATATTCTTTGTTCGGTAACCATTCTTTTGAAAATTTTAATGAGTTATTTATATATGACAAAATTAGATATTAACATTTCCTGTAATATATATATATATATATTTCTTAACTGACAGAAGTGTTGTCATCAATAGGGTCGCCATCATTGATGACTGTATTGGTAACAAGTTGATCACTTTGTCTGAAGGCTATACCACACTAAGAAGAATTTATTCTTACGGTATTGTTTTCAAAGAACCATTGTCAATGGTGACTCTTCAGTTGGTTTGAGAGTTTTTAACTTTTAGTAGTAATTTTTCTTATCAACTTCAACTTCTTTATTTTTTGTTAGGCTGGTTGTTGTGGTGTGGAAAATGGAGAAGACTTTGCTGAAGCTAGGTATATGCAGGAACGTTATAAATTTGCAAATCGTATTAAATATTATGGTAGGTTTATTTTTATCGCTAGCATTACTGGTTCATGACAGATTTCATGTCTCATCTCATGGATATCACACAAACTCTACAGGCAGAAGAGGCAGCCATGACTAGACTACAAGTGGACATTATTACCATTATTTAAACACATGGGACTTTGTACAATATGGCAGCAGGAATATGAGCTATACAATAGTAATGAAACACCATTGATTAAAAGTAAAAACACAGGTGGAGAGCGGATAAAATACTTCATCTGCAAGGAAACAGTCATAGTTAACATGTTCAAACAGCATTCGGAAATCATGGTCGGAAAGGGAATAAAGAAAGAAATTTCAGCACGTTCGCCATTGATTGCGGTTCTCGAACATATCCAACAACGTCTCTAGCCACCCAATTAGGAATTTTGACTCACCAACTGACGCTAAACTAACGCAAATATCCTTCATCTCACAACGTCAAGCCATGAGCTGACCACCTCTTGGCTTTATCCACCCAGTCTGAGGGCTGGCTAACGAAATGAGACCTTTAGGTAAGCCTCTGAGATGACATTCGCAGAACATGTTCAAGCCACCGAAACCGGTGTTTCCAGGTGACAACAATCAGTGAGTGGTGATCTCCACTGTGTCTAAGCACACGCCACCGCACCTCAGAATTACTCACGCGATGACACCATAGAATGCAAATAATCCTGCGGAGACAACGATGATCGAATATGTAGAATCGCCGCACATCCTCAGCTTGGAGGGGCCAGGTTTCGCAGGCGTAGAACGAGACAGCATGCACTGAAGCATTGTAAACCAGACCTTTGTAAACGACGGCGCCAGAGGTGGCTCAAGTTGACGTATGCCACCCTAGCTTTCATAATACGATTGGAAGTCTCATCCGCCACCCCTCCGCCAGCACCCGCACAACTACCCAGATAAAGAAAAACTTATCGACAACTTCAACTGGTTCATCTGTGAGAGTGAGTGCAGGTATAGGATTCTAAAGGCAATCTTGTAACAGCACTTTGCACTCAGATAGCGCAAAGTACAAACCCTACTTACAGACACTGATCGCTAACCGATTAAGTGTGATTTTGGCAGTCTGCGTGCTATCACAAAGTAAGACGATATCATCTGCATACTGGAGGTCCAAAAGTCTCTCTCGAGGTAACAGATCTACACCACTTTCACGCACGTCCTACAGACCTGACTCCAGAATGTCATCGGTGGCGAAGTTAAAGAGAAATGGGGAGATTAGGCAACCCTGTATAACCCCAGTGTTGCTTGGGGACGGTGATGACTGTTGGTTGTATACCCTCACTCTACCTGAAATGTTTCTGTAGACAGGGAACACGAGAAGACACAGAGAAGACAGCGATGGTGAAGACGATAAACCAGCAACAACGATCGTTAATTAGTATTAAGAGGAGCAATCTCAAGGAAGTCACCTCTTTCATTTATTTAGGTAACACCATTTCAACTACGGACAGATGAAAACGGATGAAGATGTAAAACCGGGGATCGGAAGGGTAAGATACGTCTTCATTAATCTAAAATCAGAGTAGAAATCTGTCATATTCGGTATAATGGAAAAGATCCAAATTTTCAACACTAATGTCCAATCAGTGGTTCTATATCCTTTAGAGACTTGGAGCGCGTCACATAAAGCATTTCAAAGTCATTCATCAACAGCTGCTTCAACTGGATCAGTACAGAAGACTGAATGGTCTTCTGGAGAGGATTAGCAACAGGGAACTCTGGGAACGAGTCAATAAGTAACTAATCGCCCAGAAAATACGTTGAAGAGAATGGAGTTGGAAAGGTCACCTAGTGAGGAGAATTTGAGGTGCCATCATATGTCGTCAGGCTGATTGTCGAGTGGCAACCGAATGAGAAACTACGAATTGAGTAGAGATTCTAGAGTGATATGAAGAACGTCGCGTGGAGCCAAATGAAAAAGACTGTACAGAAAATGATGCAGTGGAAATGTGCTGTTGAAGCCCTATGATCTATTTAGAACTCAAATAGTTAATGAGAATAATCTCATAAATTGTTAGCTATTTTATCACTAGTATACAATGAATGCAATGACTCGACACAGCTAGCCAACCTTGATGTAGCCTTGTGAAATTTGACAGTTTGACTCAAGAATATCCTTGGAACGGTGGTATGGTGATAAAAATTAAATTAAGTATAACGTAGTAATCAGAGGTCACCTCCTTCACTTATCCAGCCAGGAAGCACCGTTTCAACTACAGGCAAAACAGATGAAGATGTCAAAGCCAGTAAGAGGCGGGGAAAGGCAAGATACACCTCCATCAACCTGAAACCGGTTTAAAAATCTTCTACACTGACTCAGGATAAAGAACAAGATTCGGAATTTCAAAACATATGTCCAGTCAGTCAGTCAGTCAGTCCTTCTGTATAAGTTAGAAATTTCCACTGAGTGTGCCTTGCAGCCTGTTACAGACCTTTGGCAACAGCTGTCAACCTAGCTGGCTCCATACTGAAGATCAAATGGCCAGCCGGCTGGGCAGAAACAATTAGCAGCCAGAGGTGACGAACCAACCAAGAGCCGATCGCTCAACAACGGATACAGCATACGTTGAGGAGGCCGTCGAATGAAATTACACTCAATGCAGATCATCGCTCAAGTAGAATCATAATGCGAAGGTACGAATGGGTCGTCAGTGCCAATTTTACATGGAAGGGGTCGTGTGGAGAGGAGGAGACTAAAGATTTTGGGCAGTCATGAAGCAAGCCGGCTGAAGAGGACAGTAGCAAATAAAAGAAATTGAGGTGTGTTGTTAAGGCTCTATTTTACACTCGGAACTTATCTGAATAATAATATATAATAATAATGGTACATCATGTAACACAATGCTATTCAATATGAAGCATAGACTAATCTCTCATGACATCTTTCCTCTATATCTGAGAAATATGCATCAGTAGGTTGAAAGTAAATTGAAAATGTTCAAGAGTACATTTCGTGACCCACAAGCATAGGCGAATGGTTAAAACAATGTTGAATGGAAATTCAGGTAGCACAATGTTCACACAGGTCACCAATTGGTTTGAGCAAAGGTGTTATATTTAAGGACTTCATTTGATAACCTCATGGCCAAACTTTCCTCCTTTCATAGGCTTTTACGAATGCACTGAGAGGAAATCGAACACAAAAGACGTGAGTAGCTAGCCGGTGTTCTATTCTTGGACCACTGATGCACATCACTGTGCATTTAAATGTCTAACCGGCTGTAGAAAACAGATCTCCTTTGTGATTTATGTGCATACATTTTGTCCATTTGCCAATTACATCGAAATCACTAACATACTCTTTGAATTCGTTTGTTTTCTTCGACTTTATTTTTCATGGCATACTACTACTGCATTTCAGTACTGAAATATCCGTATACATGTTGTAAGTATTCAAAAAGTTTTGAAGCCTTCGATCCATCTTGTCCTGAATCATTCAATGAATTGAATAGTAATGTACGAATTGGTTGTTGGCCTATTATAGAAAAGTATTTAACTAAACTATATGGTAAAATAACTATCGGTGTATGTTTCGTACTAATCGTATTGGTAAGTGAATATATATATATATATATATATATATATATTTCTTCTGATCGAAATGAGTATTTTAATGATCTTTATTTTGAATTTTGATTCTCTGGAATAGCTGGTTGATGCTGAAGACAGATTCCACTAAGATCTGACTCTAGGCAACAAATTATGCAGACCGATGAGACAATGGACACATGTTTCATCTTAACTTGGGACTGTGAAGTTGTGCACGCTCACAACAGCATCAGGAGTTGAATTCAGTCGATGGTTATAAAATTATCGCTTGACTGAAATTCAGTGACCACAAAGCATCGTCATTACCAAATGTTACCTGGAGATTCCACCAAAAATCTATCTTAAATTCTCCATTTGTTAGACCTCGTTACGAATCAGCATCAGTTAGAAAGATCGCTGTAAACCAGAGAGCACTATGCAGGTATTTCTTTCCGTTTTGGGACTCTTCATCAGTAGGCATCCACGAACCTGCCAGGAATAAAGTTAAAATTCACGAGTGGCTAAATCTAAAGGGTCCGAGTTGGATCCCTGACGCAGTTATGGGCGCGCATCACTGAAGAGTCCAAAACTAGGACGGAAAACATCTGTGCGCGGCTGTCTGGTTTTCAATGATCTTCCTAACTGATGTTTGTTCCTGAAAAAAGTTCAACAACTGAAACGGTGCTTTGTTATCCTGTTTTTATTAGTAACTAAATTAGATAGCTTTAGTTTTTAGCTTAGCTACTGTGACAATGGCGTCTGTGTTTTTTCCTCTCAGCCAATCAATTTCGCGCCATATAGAATCAGAAAACTTTTAAAAATAAGAATTTTTACAGCATAAGATGAATTCACTTCATTTTATACAGGGTTTTCATCAGCTGCATACAACCTGAATGGTAACAGACTATATAGGCAATAAATGTAAAACGGCTTAAAAATATTTTAACTGTGAATAATTAGTTCAATGGAGACAGAGTGTGAAAGATACGAGAAGTTTGAATAATCAGTTATAGTCAAAATTCAGATATTCTATATATTGTACAGAGAAGAAGGTTCTAGAATTTAAGGCCAATTCAAGTATAAGGGGAAACAGTCAGATAGTCACATGCAAAATTGTTCAGTACAAATGAGAGTGGTCAATGGCAATAATATATTAAGAACCAGTAAGGACAGTGGCACAGTGGTTAGGATTCTCGCCGATCATGCGCATGGTCCGGGGTTCGAGCCCACGCCGACGCACACCTGATATCTATGGTCGGCCTGCAAAATTTGGGCTACCGATATCCATGCTGAAAATTCCATACTTGTACCAAAAAAATACAGTGTGGAATCAAGCTGTAAATAAAAAAAAAAATAAAAATAAAGGAAACACATGAATGCATTTATTAAGTTACGTCATAAAAAAACGAAATGAAATGCTGACAATTTAAGGTGAAAGAGTCACTGCTTACAAAGGTAGTAATAAGTTAGCAAAGTTTTTCTTTTGATCAGATAATTCTGCTTTCACTCTTCGGATGACTACTGTTTCAGCAATCCATAATGGTTGTGAAGTGTGCTTTGTCTGTTTGCCACCTTAAAAGATTCTTTTACGTTAATTCAGCACCCTGTAACAGTCAGGCACCAAGCTATGGCGCTATAACAGGACACTGGATCTCTAAAATGTAGGCTTTTAGGCATTTGTTCAACAATTCTTAGAAATCCTTGTATGGGGAATTACCAGGATGTTGTGTCTGATTCAAGTTACATTCCAAAACCCTTGATAGGATTTATTGCATTATTTTCCAGTTCACTGAATCAGTTATTGTCCTTAAGAATGAGAAGCCTAGGATCTAGGTTTCGTGCTTCTCGATACTCATCAGTAAGGTGTATCTGTAATCTCGAAGAAGCGGATTTCCCCACTCCGAGGATTTGAAATCTCATCACCCAGTGTTGTAGTCAGAGTTCTGCCAACTGGGCTATCTGGCCTCACAGTTGACCTCCTGTAGGATCAACATAAAGGAATAGAAACATGGCACTGATGACTCACTAGTGACTAATCAGTGTATCCTTTTACTTGGTTTGTAAACTATTTATCTCATCACACATGCTTATACTCGAATTCACAGTACACTGAAAACTAAACGAAATACAGCCCTGTATTAGTGGATAAAGTTATCACTTTTCTGAAGAAGATAAATAGATAAATAAAGAGAACTCAAAACCGACAATGAACAACTCATTTCTATGCTTAAAAAGATGCTAAATAATAATGTGACGTTCAAAGGTGACCTTTTGACCGTTACCCCGAAGAAGGGAATATCAAATGCCTTGGGAGGAACAATCTTTGCTGCTACATTACGATTGGTATTCTGTTGCTAGCCATTGTTCTTCAGCCACTCTAAAGATGAACTATCGCATTTAGCCACTTTTGTGTGTATCTGCAAATTCAGATGGTCCCATGGAGCGAAATATATAGGTCGTTTAATATGTGTTCTATCTAAAAGAATCAAAGAAAACTGTCCCACTTGGCTACGAAAAAGTGAGAGTCAATCCATAAAGAGTGCTTTAATTGAAAATATGTATTCAACACTGACCACTCAACGTACATGGAGAAGTCAGTTAAAGTTATCTATAAAATCAAAAGCCTTAACGATTCAGATGACAAGAAGGGGACTTTTCCATCCTGCATCTAAGCTGAGCTGTCATGAATATATTTCGTTATTAACACTATTTTGTGCATTTTTGCTATGACATTTATCATCATCATTTTCTTGGTTAACCTTCTGTTTACCTATTGTATAATTTATTGTTGTCATTCTATCTGCTGATCTTTCCTGGTCGTCTCATATCTTGATGATTTCTAAGAAAATATCCCGTCTTAACTTCTACATCAAGAAGTTAAGATATTCTGGAATGACCCAACCCTTACTCCTACGATTCGTTAACTCTCACATTCTGCCTATTATTCTGTATTGTTCCCCCTTAGTTTATCCAGGGCTGGCTACTGAAGAAAGACTATACCTTATTACGCAGGATGTTAAAGGTTTTCAGTAGGGTAAGCAACATGCCACTTAACTAGCTTGTTAATATTCCGGACGACAGGCACTTGGGCTCTTGTGAAAAATGGGCTAAATCCATTTTATCTAACTCACACCACCCTCTTCATTCACATCTCTCCCCTTGTATCTCATCAGGCAGGCAGAACCAGAAGCCTATACAGGAAACTATATGCTCGCACTAGCAAGTACAAAAACTCAATTATACCCTACTTAGCTCGCGTTCTGTGCGATAAAGAAGGCATTAGGCATGATACCTATAACTTATTAAATAGTCAGTAGAAAAACTGGATCTCGTCTTTCCAACTCATATCTTTTATAGGTACAAGGTTTTCTTTCTTTCTTTTCCTTTTCTCTCTTTTTTTTGTTATGTGCTGTTTTGTTTCTCTCTTCCTTACAAACTCTACTTGAAACATTCTTCTTCGATCTTTCACACTCTGTACATCTCGACCTTTTCGTTACCGCTTACTCCAGTAAATATGCAAGAATCTACTTTTCTAACACCTTCAAACACTCTGTTCAATTTTGGCTTTGCTACCGACATGCCAATATGTTGTTGTCATAATGAACTGAGATTACCCATAATCTATGTAGAATTTTATTTATTGATAATGTACTAACTGGATGCAATACTGTAGTAATATGCTGAGAATTCCATTCTGTATCACAAGTACTGTTTTGAAATAAAGCAAATTATTATTATTATTATTAACTTACTGAAGTGCGTCGGTGGCACAGTGGTTAGGACTCTCGCCGACCATGCACATGGTCCGAGGTTCGACCCCCTGCTGGCGCACACCTGATCTCTATGGTCGACCTGCAAAATTTGGGCTACCGATATCCATGCTGAAAATTCCAAACTTGTACCAAAAATACGGTGTGGAATCAAGCTGTAGATCAAAATAAAATAAAAATCAAAAATAGTTATAATTTTGATTACTCATCACTGTGTTTGAAATCTTCTGATGATGTGAAAAATACTCCAGACTCACTTTTGTCCTTGTTATGTGTATAATATGTATAATCAAGATTGTTTGGCTAAGTGAACGAATTCGTCATAGGAAAAAGAGATTCTTCGCCCAACTGTTTATTCTTATTTCCATGTCTGGATGGGTTGGTTACTTTTTCGTGAATTAAATAAAGTGCCATCAGTTGCCTATCCCCTTTTGCCTCCGCCGTCAACTATCATCTCTAAGAGGAATATAATATGAAGTAAAGACAGACTTGTACTCCACCTTTTTTGTTTTTTATTCCTTTACGTTTTCAGTGGGACATAAGGCTACAAGCTTCTTGGACTTTGAAGTTTCGGTAGTAGTGGTGTTTATTTTTACCGGGTGGGGTTGCTAGCCTCATACCCAACCTTCCGTATTTACCAGTCTTATTATTGGCTTAGCGAGGTAAAGAAATACATTGGCCAGAGGTTGAACTCTGAACCACATGGTGGTCGATGGGCATTCTGCGTTTGTGCCGCCGACGTACAAGTACTTCTCTTAATTATGCAATATTGTATTGTGCTTAAATTATTGTTTGCCTCACGTGATTCATTGATTTTCCGTATGATGAATTCTGTTTATTTTTATTGTTGGTGATGGTGTATAGCTTATCACGGCGTGCTGTTCAATATATCTGGGTTCTTCGTTTGAAAAAGGTGATTATATTTCTATGAAAAGAATGCATAAGTAGTCAGAAAAGAACACATGTAATTCTATGAAAATTTTAACAAATACACACGTGATACAAGAAGAATACAATTAATTTGTAAGGTGAACGAACAGCCCATTATCAGTTCATTACCAAAATAACATTTCAACTCTATAACTCCGCTAATTATTACTATTTTATTTGGGTGGATGTCTAATTTATCGGTCTGTTATCGTCAAAGTACTAATCCATTTAAATAAAATTAGAAAAAATTTAATGAGAAAGATTTTACTGCTAATTAGTTAATATAAGTATTGTAATTATTATTGTCATTATTACTTATTCAGTTATCTGGTAATAAAAACAAAACACGTGTATTTCAACGCAGAGTCTCTTTCCGCCGGTGAATACATTCACACTCAGCTGTATAATCACAATTATGTATACTTATTTTGTATGTGTGTGTGTGTGTACATTACGTTTGCCCGATAAGAGTGAAAATAAATTAGGGTTATTGTTGTCAAGACACTTCAAAAATGTGATGAATATTAAAGCTCTAACTACGGGATGATAACAGTGAAGACTGGGAAGAGAGTAGTGGTGGTGCGTTGTCAAAAACGTAGTCATCAGTGTAAATCAACACAAAAAAGAAGTTGAATGAACATAATACAGTCAAATGATAAGATGAATAGTTTATTGAGTGAGTTGTGATTAGGATGCTGAAGCTTTGAGGATTCAGTTGCGGAAACCGGACTTATGCGTGCTCACTATGCTGACTGATACTCGCTAGAGACTGGCCCTATTCAAGCAGTTACCTGGGATTCTAGTGGGAAGCCGTGACCAGTAGGGTACAGCAAGTGAAAGGTGAGGGTGGTTACTCATCGAGGAAGAAGACAATGCGGAGGGGTTACGCTATGTCATGAATTAGCAGAAGTTAGAATTCATGGGCTACTGAAGAGTCCCAATCTAGGACGAAACAGTTGTTCCGTACTTCCAGTACTTGAAAGGAGAAAATCATTCAACCGCTTGTCTTATATTGTTAACAACATTGTTGACTTCTACTGACTTGATGGTTTTGTGCTTGTTGTTTTAAAACTCCTATAACATTTGTAAATTTTAGAACTCTTATATAATTCCATATTTTACTTTGTTTCTATGTACATCCTGATCACAACTTACTAATTGAGCTATTCATCTTATCACTTGACTGTATTACGTTTATTCAACTTCTTATTTTTGTTGATTAATACTAATGAATAAATTTTTACAACGCACCACCACTACCCTCTTACCAGTCTTCACCGTCATCTTCCCACAGTTACAGTTTGATTATTCATCACATTTTTGAAATGTCTTGACACCAATAACCTTAACTTATTTTTATTCTTATCCGACAAACCTTATGTACACACACAAACAAACTATAATTGCGATTGTACAGCTGAGTGTGAATGCATTCACCCGAGAAAAGAGACTCTTCTTTGAACTGCGTGTTTTGGTTTCCAATAATGTCTGGATGGGGATTATTTATAAATTAAAAGAAAGGTGGTAATAAATTTTTAAAAAACAACTGAAAATGTGTCAGTGGTTTTGATTCCTGTTTGAGAAGAAGTCGTAGCGTATTTACGTTAGTAAATTCCTTGCTTCAGTAACGGTCTTCAACAAGACGGGACTGCTAACCTTACTCTCAACCTTACACTTTCTAAGGATTATTATGGGCCAGTTGAAGTTTAAGAGGACATCATCAGGGGATTGGGTCTAGACCACATGTGTGATTAGCGAGCAGTATACCGCTGAACCACAGACATTCCATTTTCTTTTTATTTTGAGACTTTCCAGAGATATGCATCGGTAATTGTTTAAGGCGGATCATATCGAGGATCTTCAGATTATGAGGCAAGATGTTTAACTATTCAGTATGTTAATTAATGCATATCAAGTAATAGCTTCCACTTGCATAATTTATACACTAATGATGAGTACAGATTATAAACACTCAAAAATTGATTTTATAACTGGATGTTGAAAGCTTAACAATGTCTGGGAACAGAAGCAATAAGCAGGGTCCGAACTATCTCTGTAAATCAGATCTGTATTTCTTTGAAATCTATCGATTTGATTAAATGACTTCTTACAAATACTATTGAGCGTGATTTTAATGGAACATTTGGTGTTGAAAAATTAAACTCATTTCTTCAAGTAGGATCAAGCGTTTTAGTTTTTGCTGAACAGCGCTAATTAATACTGTTGAAGGGTAAATCAATTATAGAACACGATTTAGGCAGATACGTATTCACGGTAAATTCTTGTAGCGGTAGGTAATTCCTCAGAATTAGTAGTCACAGTATTCATCACTGAACATTGGATGCTGAACCCCACTGTTTCGTTCGATTTGTTTAGCTGCAGGCTTGTGGTCAAGCATACGCGCCATTCGGCACGCTGTAGTGTTACGTTCGTTCGCTTCGCCTTTGGTCTACGCAGAACGAATAGTATGGAAGTTGTGGGTAGTAGATCATGCGTAAGTGTGCTTCGTACTATCCCATAACGCGAACAGCCTTAGCCTGTAAATTCTCATCAGACTTTACATTTACATAATGAATTATTACTCATAGGCATCTGAGTGTATGTGGTGTTGAATTATAGGATCACGAAATCTGACTAGACCAGTGAGGTGCAGGAAGTCAGGTGTAAGCACAAATACTCGCCGATGATATTCGCTAGTGGCAGAATTTGGAATTTATGGACCATTGGATCGACTCCTAGTGGTCTGGTGGTCTAAGAGCTCGCCTTGTAACCAAAAGATACTTTGTTCGAACCCTAGCGATGGGTGCGTACCACTGAAAAGTTCCTACTAGGACTTGTTTTCCAATGTCAGCTCATGATGAAATCCTGTAACCAATCAATCAAATCCCTACAGATCAACACTTGAAAACGTTTTATTTTCCTTACTTCATATTCTTGAGTGTCGGTTGTGCAGACTTTTCTAGGAGGCTACTGATAAGATTTTGTTTGTATGCAAGTAGAACAAACGATTTTAAGTGGGTGAAATGGCCCGAAAAATACCCCTCTTAATGCCCCCATCTTGCCTTCTTGTTAACAGGACATTAAGAAACAATAAGGTGTTGTCTTTCTGCTTTCCTTATGTGAACTTAATATGTGGGTGAGACATAGTGAGCTTTTGGAGAAGGACCTTGACATCGATTTCATAATTACGCAAGATAAAATTATCGTCCATATATATATATATATATATATATATATATATATATATATATATATATATATATATATCTACAGTTGAATGGGAGTTCATCGACTACGTTCTTGAATAGATGATTCTCTAATTTCGCCATAAAAATCGAGCAGTCGTAAAGTCAATCAGAAGTTCTGCACTGGTACTTTTGGTGGATACGCAGCACAAGATTGACAGAAATTTAGCTTTTACAATTTTATGCAGGGTGCCGCTTCAAATCCTTACGTTGGAACTTCTTCGGTCGCTAAGCATAAGTGAAACAGTTGCCCAATCTCTATGTTTAGAAAAAGTTTGTTCAGTCTCTCTCCTTTGGCCTCCGCCTCCCCCCCGAACCTAAAACAGTTATCTCTCCCGGTGACGCCGGATAAGTGTAAATATTATCTTATTATATTTTTATTTTATTTTACTTGTAAAGCTAACTGTATTATCAATATCATGCTGTGCTGAGGCTGTACATTTAAATCTCCGTTACACAACTTATCATTATTATTATATTATTTAATTGCTACATGACAATAGTTATTTTCCCCTCTACCCCCACCTGCATGCACATTCTACCAATACAACCACCGTTACCTAGGTTGTGTAAACACTTGAATAAATTTATCCTTGTTATTATTATTATCCATTCAAATTCTTGCAATGATTGTGAGGTCAACTACATAGGTCAAACTAGTAGGTTAGGGGTAGTCGGATTGTCGGAACATAAGAATTTAAGAACGCAATATTCAGCGAAGAGACTGTTTTCAACGAATTTATTATCAAGCTGTACAATCGTATATATGTATATATATATGTATGTATATACACATATATGTATATAAATGAAAGAATAAAGTTGTTTGAGTAACTTGATGTGATTATGAGCAATAGTTTGTGATCGAAACGTCATCAATTAATATAACTGTACAACACTGTGTATGATTTATCAAAATAAAATCTTATCCATAATGGAGTTATACTCTACCACAGTGCCCAAGTTTTATACTTATATCAGTAATACATAGGGTCGGTGAGAACACTGTTTGACCGTGTAAGGAAGCCTTGTTCAGGAGGAAAAGTCGAAGAAGAACTGGCCACTGCTGAAAAACGCTTGCGTGATAATGGTCACCCAAAGAAGTTCAACGACAAACATGGAAAACATAGCGTTGGCGAGACAAAGTACAGCAAAGTAGAGAAAAAGCTCATCTTTCTACAGTTCGCCTTCAAAGCTGACGACACTGATAGTACAGTAAGATGCAGACTGAACGTTGCCGTGAAAAGAACATTTGCAGCGGAAATCAAACAACGAGTTAGTTGTTGAAGACTGTGAAAAGTAGAAAAACTCCCACCTCATGTTACCTCCAACTGCGTCTACCAATTTACATGTACATGCCAAAGCGAATGCATTGGAAGAACACAGAGAAGTGATATTGTCCGCATCGCTACACACATACCAAAAGACCTAAGACTAAAGGGTTTACAAGCACTAAATAGTTTGATAGCACCTCTTCTACTAAACAGTGGTCATGTTGTGGACAACCTGAAGGCGTTCAGAATAATCAACAGACAAAAGGAACTTAGTCTGCTTCGTTTCGCTGAGGCAATCTCCCTCAAACAGCTCGATAGAAATCTGTGTACGCAGAAAGAGACAGTGGTGAATGTTGCACTGTCTTGGTGATAACAAAGCGCACAAATTTCACCACGTCATCTTCTTTACTGTTTAGAAAATTTAAATATTTCGTCTAAACATGACTCATCTAACCACTCTTTTTGTCTTCTGTGTTACATAAAGCATTACGTTTTATACTCTTTCTAGCTAAACTTTATTTCTATTCATAAAACATCTGTTGAACTCTGTCTGTGCTTTTGTTTAAAAACTTAGTCGTGCGATTCTTCCAGAAGAAGTTGATCCTTTTCACTCTTAATTATTTAACAACTTACATGATTCCTGACCAATGTTACTCTCAGTTCCAATCAATTGCTCATTATCATTGTAAGACACTATGTTTACATCTTTAATTCATTTTATAGATAAAACCAAGAAGTAACAAAAATAAAAACATGAGCTCAGATTATCCTGGTACATTTGTCGTTATTGTTTTATTCTACAAATGTGCTGGGCGTAATGTTCTGGATTGTTCCTCCGATCTTGAATATTGAGCGAAGACAACTGTTAATTGAGGTCTGTAGTTTGTTTGAGGTGCTCTTTATGATGTGCCAGGTCTCTGATGCGTATGGTAAGTAGCACTGACTTCACATTGGAGTTGAAAATCCGGATCTTATTTTCATTTTCATGCTGAGTAGTGCTGTTGACCTCCACACAGACTTGAGAGTAATGAAAGCTTGTCTTGCTTTCCCGATTCTGGCTTTGATATCCTCGTCAGTTCCACCTGTAGTTGAAACGATGCTTCCCAGGTAGGTTAAGGAGGCTGTTTCTTTCAGGTTTCTCCCATTTATGCTGACTGTTGTTGTTGCTGTTGGTGTTGGCCAAGAATCTTCATCACCGCTGTTTTCTCTATGTTCACCTGATGTCCTATCTTTGATGCTTCTTCTGCTAGCTTGTTGCTTTTCACTTGCATATCTTCCAGTTTGAGGGAAATCAGGCATATATCATCGGCGAAGTCCAGATCCTCCAAGTTTTTTGTGTGAGTCCATCTTATGCCTGTTCCCTCATTGCCCGTTGTCCGTCGCATTATCCAATCTACTGCAATCAGGAAAATCATTGGTGATAGTAGACAGCCTTGTCGCACTCACGTCTTCACTTCGAAGTCTTCCGTAAGTTTCCCGTTGTGGAATACTTGGCATGCAGCATTGTCGTATAGCTGTTGGATGATATGTATAATTGTCGATGGGACCCCGTAGTAGCGAAGTAGTTGCCAAATGACCACTCGATCGATGCTGTCGAAGGCCTTTTCAAAGTCGATGAAGTTGAGACAGAGAGGTGACTACCATTCCAAGCTTTGTTCAATGATGATCCGTAGTGTGGCGATTTGATCAATACATGACTCGTTTCTCCTGAATCCAGCTTGTTCCGGTCGAAGTTTTTCATCTAGGGCTTGTTTGATTCTCTCCAGGATGATGCGGCTTAGTATTTTGCTTGGGATGGACAGGAGCGTAATTCCGCGCCAGTTTTTGCATTGACTTAAGTCTCCTTTCTTTGGTAGTTTGAATAAGTATCCTTTCTTCCAATCCTCGGGTACTTTGCCCTCCTTCCACACCTTCTCCAGCAATGACGTCATCAAGTTCACTGTTGTCTCTGGGTCTATTTTCAATGCTTCCTAAGTATATCTACATTTCGTTGAACAATTGCACAGCGTTTATTTGGAAGCAAGTTAAATCAGCGCAGAAGTTAACGAGTAAGTCATTCAATATAACTGGACGATTAAAACAATAATAAATGCAGATGAAACTAAGCATTTTGATGGGAAGCGATTTCGGTAGCCCAGTGATTTAAACAGGCCGCCCCTATAAAGTCCTATGTTCATCTCGGAACGCAAAGAAATAAACAAAAATTAAAGAAAAGCCCATAAATATCGATAGGATGCCCCAATCCACCAGTTCTTATGTTTGAATAAATATTAGTAAATAAAGAACACTCATTTATTCAAAGAATTTTTTTCCTCATTCTAATTTATTTCTGATTTTAAAAAAATCTACTGTAAGAAGAATATATACATAAGAACATGATATTATCAAAGTATGGGGATACAAAATGCATAATATACAAATACATTATATTAAATTCAAAAAGTAAAGATGTACGTGTTTTGTCTCCACACAGTGAGGAAGTCATAAGGAAGCCCCGGATATAGATTACATCTATTCATCAGCAAGAAATATTTTATTTTTTTTATTTTTTTGTTTTTTTATTTTTTATTTACAGCTTGATTCCACACTGTATTTTTGTTACAAGTATGGAATTTTCAGCATGGATATCGGTAGCCCAAATTTTGCAGGCCGACCATAGATATCAGGTGTGCGCCGGCGTGGGCTCGAACCCCGGAACATGTGCATGGTCGGCGAGAATACACATATAATAATCCCCTGAAGTGTGTCACTGCTAAATTAAGGTTAGTGATCACTATTCTCTAAAATCTACTAATCACACATTTCTATACAACTGTTTGAGCAAACCAGTGTGTAGAATAAATCTATACAAGAGGAAGGGCAATCTTGTTCTTATAAAACATGGGAAGTTGAAGAAAATGAAATGGGAGCTGAGAGGTGGTTGGGGGTAAATAAGATGGTTTGAAATCTTAAAAATTCACAAGTATACTGCTATGTATTCATTTCATGCAAAATTAGGTTTAAACAAAGGCATAATTAATAGAATTACAATTGTAGCTATTGAGGCTATCGTTAAAAATAACCAAAATAGCATACGATCTACTATCAGGGCTAATATACGCCATTCATTTACAATATCTGAAATATACTCTTCTTCAGATTGTTTTTCATACAAATTATGTAAATAAATTTGTATCATCTCTTGTTGTTTTTCTGCTCTTTGTAAAATTACTGTTAATTTTTTTAATACTTTTATTTGTTCTTGATTTTCAATTGTTTGACGAGGTAAATATGTACGCCTATTCAATGGGTTCAAATTTGTTACATAATCACTATCATTATCACCATTATCATCATTATCATTATTATTACTATCGTCGTTGTTTAAATCATTACTTGATTTAGCATAAATTGTTCTGTGATCATGAAAGATTTTATTTTGTTTAAATGTAGTTCGCGTCTTGTGACCTTGACTTTCCTTTTCAAGGTTGTTATTTTTGTTTAAGTCATTGATTATTCGAAAGGTATTGATTAATTTAGGCCTTTTGATTATTTCTTCGCTTGAAATTGTGTTGGCTGTATTTAAATTAGGTGAACTTAATGTGTTCAGTGGTTCAATGGCTTTATATCGTTTATCAACTACTGATGAATACTGTTGTTGTTCAGTAGTATTTGAAGAGTTTGTTGCATATTTACAAGCTGACAATTGTTTCTTTTCATTGAGAACAATAGTTGAGCTGATCACCTCTGATGGCAAATAATTATACTGGAGTGGTTTGTTTAAATTTGGTGAATTGCAGATTGTTGGTTTTGTGTTGATTAATTTGTCTTGATAATTCATAGAACATTTGTCGTCGTTACTGATAGAGTTTGTATCTCCTTTTTTATTCAATGACATTTGTCTCAAAAGGTCAGCGTGTTTCATTACACACTTTTCTCGCCTCACTTGATACCTACGTACAACATCTGAACAGAGTATTCTAGCAATATAATTGAAAAATAATATTCTAATAAATTTAGGTACAGCTTGTCGATTTGAACCAGTATGATGAAGGTGTAGAACGAGAACTGTTAATATAATAGACAGTGATGTCATTGTCATAGTAACTGTAAGATAGACACCTGTAGAAAAAAAGGGAAGAGAGTAGAAAAGGAGGTATGCAACGAAGTTACTGGGAGTACAATGGGTTTTCCTGGCTCCTGTAGATCCAGTTATACTGGCCATTAAAGCCATCAACTGTCCTATAGACCATAATATTGTAAAGTTAATATTCTTAGTTATTTGAATATACTACTTGTTAATTGTAAATAGCTTGATTGATTTCCTTAAAAATGTTATTTTCAACAAAAAAGCTATTCGATTCCACATCAATAGGAAAAGAAGCCTAAATAATCAATATGTTGTACTCAGGCGAATGATTATCCATTCTCCGCTAGAAATAGCGAGTCATGCTGGCGCTACAAGTAACATAAACTTAACTATTTGGTGTATGATTATTATTATTATTCCTTTTGGCTCCGATTGTGACATACAGCTTCAACAACACACCTCCACTTTCTTCTATTTTCTGCTGTCTTCTTCAGTTGGTTGACCCCCCAAGATTTCCCATAATCTCTCAGCTCCTCCACACACGATCTCCTTCATGTCACCCTCAAACCGACCACCCACTAATCTCTTCCAATTGGGATTCCACTCCAGAGGCTGGCGCGCGATGTCATTCGACGGCCTCTTCAATGTATGCTCAATCGATCCCCATTTTCTTCAGCATGTTTGTTGAGCAGTTAACTAATGGTTGGTTTCAATTGGTGGATGGTGACTAGCAGTGGAATCCAGGATAAAGCGCATTTCGTCCTATTTGGGACTCGTCAACTTGATGTACCTGCATTTCTCAGTGAGTGATGATGTTCCCACCGAGGCTCGAACCCAGTACCCATAGTTTCAAACGCAGGTACATCCAGCTGACGAGTCCCAAATAGGACGAAATGCGCATCCTGGATTCCACTGCTAGTCACCATCCACCAATTGTATACTAACTAAATGCCCAGACATCGTCGAAGCATCTGAACAAGAAGCCGACATGTCAACCTGAGATCGAGCACTTCGGTCCAATCAATCGACGGGAAAATCAAAAAATCCAATTCAATAATGGTTGGTTTGTTGCACTTCTGAGTTTCTTGCTGCTAAGTTCTTCTGACCGGCCATTCGATCTTCAGTATAGGACTAGAGAAAACAGTTGTTGATAAAAATGTGTCACTTGTTGGAAATACTTTTCGTGATATGCAGTGCAAGTTTCTCACCCATATAGAGGAGCTGACTGACTTCACATTTGTGTTGAACAGAATACAAATCTTGTTCTTCATGTTAGCTGAGTCAGTGCAGAAGATTTCCTAGCCGGTTTCATCTTGATTGAGGCGTATTTTGCCTTTCCGATTCTGGCTGGCTGACTTCGATATCTTCATCCATTCCAACTGCCTGTAGTTGAAAAGATTCTTCCTAGCCAAATAAGTCAAGGAGGTAACCTCTTTCAAATCTCTCGCGTTGATGGTTATTGGTGCTGGTGGTTATTGCTGTTGCTGTTGGTTGGGGAGGTATCTCCATCACCTCCGTCTCCAACTTCTCTGTACTAACCTGGTGTCCTGTCTTCGCTAACAGTTTGTTGGTTTTTGCCTGCAAGTCTTCGAGTTTGTTTGACATTGAACATAAATCATCCACACGAGAAAACCAGGTTTTCTAGAGTATTTTTCTTGGTCATTTCAACATATTCCTGTCGTTTCATTCCATGTCCACAGTCTGGGGTATAATCCAGTCCACCACAATTAAGAATATCATCTTGGGTGGTAATAGGCAGCTAGCTTATCTTAATCCTGTCTCCACTTCGAACACGTTGTTGAGTTTTCCGCTGTGGATTACCTGGCACGTGCTACTGTCACATGGCCAGCTGTTGAATAAGTTTGATAGGTACTTGAGCACTACATGCCGAAGTGTTAAAGTTTCCAAATAACTTCTCGGTTAACGCTGTCTGTCGAAGGCCTTTTCAAAGTTGATGAAGTTGAGGTAGAGATGTAACTGCCCTTAGATGCTTTGTTAGATGATGATGCGTGGATTTCCAATTTGATCAGCACACGATTTGCCTTTCTTGAATCCAGCTTGTTACGTCTGGCGATGTTCTGCATCTAGTGCAGCTTTCATTCTCTCCAGGAAGAAGTGACATATTATTTTATTTGGCGTGGACAAGGTCGTCATTCCATGTCAGTCGGTTATTGCAGAGGCGTAAGTAGCCCTTCTTTGGTAGCCTGACAAAGTGGCTAGCCTTCCTTTCAATCAGTACGCACCTTTCTTTCTTTCCAAACCTTTTGGATGAATGGCGTGAAACCATCTCCTGAAGTCTCTGGATCCGTTTTCAGTGCTGCAGGGTGGGGAATTCCCTTCGGGCCTGCTGCCTTCCCATCCTTCAGTAGCTGGATCTAATTCAGTATTTCAGCTTTCGTTAGAGGATTGGTATCCACTGGCAGGCAGTTCTGTCCGTGCTGTTGGCGATGGTGATGGCCAATTTAAGAGTCCTTTAAAGTGATCAGCCCATTGTTTTATTTGTTCCTCCTTGGTGATCAGGTTTCCTTGAACATCTTATATTGGTTCCATCATTGGGGTTGATCTCTTCCCGGATAGGGACCTCGTTATCTGGTAATATGTTATGAGGTCGCTTTTTCCTGCTACCTGCCTGTTCTGTTTGAATTGACAGCCACCGTGTTGTAGAATTGTCTTTGGTCTTTCGTAGCACTCTTCTTCACTTCTTTATTCAGTTCAGTGTGCACTGAACTCAGTTCCTCCTTCTGTTATCCATCTTTGCATTCAGTCATCTCTTTGTTCACCCTCCTCTCCTCGATTAACTTCCAGGTAGGTTTCCGTTGAGAGCTATTCCTTGTCTTGTCTCTTTTTTCTTCCTAGAACGGTTATGCACGTTTCCTTGAACATCACCTGTAGAGAGTTAGTTCCGATGTTGCTTCAAACTGGTTTCTTTAGTGATGCCAAATAGTTTGTCCGACTTTGCTCTAATCTGATCTGTAATGGAGGCATCCCTTATAGTTTTGTCCTTCAGTTTCTGAACGTCGAAGGTGAGTTGTGGCCTGTCTCCAGTTGTTCTGAAGGGTTTCAGCCTCATCCTGAAAGTTTTTAGAACTAGATGGTGGCCGGAGTCCACATCTACTCTCCTGCTGGAATTTGTGTGTCAGCAGTCTGCGTCTCCATTTTCTTGAGCGAAATTAAGATGAAATCTATCTGATTTGTGGTGTGTGTGGCAGGCAAAATCCATGTCACCCTGTGTATATTCTTGTGTTTGTACACGCTGAATCCAATCATGAAATCACTGAAGGCACAGAAGCCAGCGAATAATTCTCTGTTCACATTCATTTCTCCGAGAGCCCCTGGGTTCATGATGAGTTCTCTTCCTGTGAAGTTTTCTGCCACTAGTCAGCTGACATTCATATCTCCCATGGGGATTTTGATGTCACCATTTAAGATATTGTCTTTTACTGTTTGTAGTTGTCTATCGATATCTTCCTTCTTCTCTTCTTCTGCGTTTTTTATAGCACTGTGTCTAGGATTGTATAATTGTAACCTTCCTTACCTTTGAGTTGGATCTTGCTGTCGTGATCCTGAATGAGGAGATTGGTTAACACTGCACTAAGGCTTAGGCTGTCACTGTTGACAGCATTATGGCCACTCACTCACTGTGCTCGTGGCTTTCATCTAGGTGACCTGACTAAAGTAGATTACTGACTCACCAGTTGACAATTTTGACAATCCACATCCGTTTCATCTGCTCTAGCAGATACCCAGCACTTCTATGCCATATCTTGTGATTTCTTTGGCTACCCAGGCAGCCTTCCCAGCCCGGTGCAGTGTACGGACAGTTATTGTCTCCATTCTTATTTTTGCTTTGATTGGGAGAAGACACATCGGCTGGCTGACTGTCTTTCCGAAGGCTTTCACCAGCCCGTTATATCATTTCGCCTTCCTGATTTCAGAGAGGAATAAGTTTGTTTTTTATGTATTTTGTTTTTTTCATATTTTTCTTATGCGTCGAGGTTCCTGTAGCAGTTTGGTTTTAGTGGGGTGTCGTCACTAGCCCCATCCCTAACTCGCCTCTTTTCTCGGGCTTTGAACGAGCCAGAATACTAGCAAGCTAGTGGTTTAGTATACGAAGACGGGCATTATAACTGGGAGCCTATATGGGAACAGATCAAATCATTGTTTCATCTTCTACCTAAGAATGTTTAGTCTTACACATGCAAAACCACATAAGATTGCTAAGTGTAACACTATTAGATTTCCATTCTGATGACCTGGTCGAATCATTGAGCTGTATAAATTCCTTTCCTACACAATATACCACGTTTTCTATATTTCTTAATGCCTTAACCACATTCAGTTTTGTTTTTAGCTGCGAAGTCCACTCCGGCACATTTCTGACTGACTTTCATACTACTGGCGCTCATTGCTGGGAGACAGAAGAAAATTATCTTGAGGGATTAGTTTACTCTTGAGGTCGAACAGCAGTGTATCACACTCATATACTATAGATTTCTGTCTCACTCGAAGATGCTGGATGAAGAGAAAGTATTAAATACTATGAATCACACTGAGAATCCTGCCTATTGTATAAACATTATGTCCAGAATAAAACTGTCATTATTATTATTATCGATTTTGATAACGTGTAGCATGCAAACCACACTACTTTTGACCATAAATTATTACAATACATAATGAATTTAATTCGGAAAAATGAATACAGATTTTTCAAAACCTAGGTCTAGTCTGTGATGTATTTTGTATCACTGTTTTTACTCAATTTCTGCCATCTCTACAAGACAGACTATTGAAGTCAGTAGACCAAAATACAGACCCACACCTTGGAATTTCTTCAAGATGTAAACCGTTGCTCTAGGAACTTGATTTTTCGTGCTCTTCCGGGAACACCTAACGGTGTAGCTAAATAAAGGTATAGTGAAAAACGCCAGCTGCTCAATATTAAACCACCTGGTCCAAACCGGCCACAAAGCCAGCATTGAAGAATCCTTCTCTATCATCCATTGGATACCAGATAAATTGGAAAAAGCATGTTGGTATCGAATACTCCAAATAGCCAAGGCTATCGCGATTCGCTTGAGGCAACCGGTGCTCTGTGTGCATATGAGGCAAGTCCAGGTTGCCACTACTACTGCCCTGGTTGGCCTTCAGTGGAGACTGTAAATTCATGAATTCGTATTATTATCTCTCCTAATTTACTTGCCTGATATTCAATGTGCATTGTTATGTTGATGTTATCGAACTGTAATCCACTGATATTATTGTTATTATTGATTCGATTTTATTTAAACATTAATGTTGTTAGTAACACTAATTCATTCCTGCACTATTATGGATGGATATATAACTGTAGAACCTGATGAAGAGCACGTTATCGAAAAGAATATTCTTTGTTCAGTAATCAGTCTTTTGAAAAATGGCAGCAGTTTACCCTCTTGTACTCCATTCCAACTTCATTTTGAGGCGACATTCTATACACTAAGCTACAAAACTCTTTCGTTTAAAATCATATTGAAGCATATACTGAAGATGTTATATCGAAAGAAAATTAATGGACAACTCTAAACTTTAGTGATCCAGATGAATGACTGTCATAATGACACTGACAAGCCTTTATTAACAAATCAGATGAGTACAAGGTAAAAATGAAAGTCTAGTGTAATGTTAAAAAATAGTTATACAGAGTGACGTTATTGTATGTGTTCCATTAAAATCTCTAAGTTTCTTATTGGAGTCGTCAATGATAGGCTAAACCAGTTTCTTAGAGTTTAATTTAATTGATGGGTGGTGACTAACAGTGGAATCCAGGATGCGCATTTCGTCCTATTTGCGACTCGTCAACTTGATGTACCTGCATTCCCCAGTGAGTGATGATGTTCCTACCGAGGCTCCAACCCAGTGCCCACAGTTTCCAACGCCTGTTGATACTGACCGATGCTTTTTGTTGGTGGTCAGGTGTCTTCATCACCTTTGTCTTCTCTGTGTCCAATTGACGTCTTGTCTTCGTCGCTTGCCTCTTCTGCTATCTTGATGGTTTTCGCCCGTAAATCTACTGGTTTGTGTGACACCAGACATTAATCGTTTGTGAAGTCTAGTTCTTCCAGCGTCACCTCGTCTGTCCAGCGTATGCTCCTATTCTCGCTTCTCACTGTCTGTTGAAAGATTGAGGCTACCATAGTCAAGAGTATCCTTGGTGATAGTAAGCAGTCTTGTCTTACTCTTGTCTTCATTTCAAAGTTTTCACTGAGTTTTGCACTATGAATCACCTGACACATAAAATCGTCATATAACTATCCAGTGAGACTGACAAAGATTTGAGGAATTTCATACTGTTGAAGCAGTTTCCAAATTACTCCGCAGTCAATGCTGTCGAAGACTTTCTCAATGTTAATGAAATCACACGGAGATTCATCTGACATTATATTCTCTGTTCGATGATGATGCAGAACGTCGCATTTTTATCAACAATCAAACTATTGGAATATTCAACGAAGAAATAGTTTGTGACAATTAATCTCTTTCACTGTAGCTGATCGAAGAAAAAATGAAATCTTCAAGACGGTGAAGAGGAATTAGGATTCAGTTGAATCTATCCGTAAACCAATTACACTTACAGATGATAACAACCTTTATGTCTTCAAAAGGTTTGCCAGCCGGGATTCTAGTTTGGAGCACACGTCAACCTAAAAAGAACTTCTGATTTGCTAAACAAAATTGTTCATCATTTAACATAAAATTACTCCAATCAGCTTGTTAGTAAAGAAAAACACGTAATCTATGTGGGTTAATCATACAATCAACTTACCAATCAATGGAACAAATTCACTTGTAGCTGGCATATTCTCTGCAATTAACAACATGAATACACTAAATGCCAGTAGAACAGTTATACCTAAGGTGATTTTCTCTCCAGAATCAGGTGGCAACCAAAAACTGATCAGGCTTAGCACAGTTAACCATAAACATGGAAAGATTATATTGAATAAGTAATATAGAGTTCTACGACGCATATAGATTGTAAACCGTAGATCAGGATATGGTTCTTGACAGCATGGATAGAAGATCTAAAAAATACGGAATTTTAAAGAGGATGATAAATGAAACTCAGAGTAAATTACATTTGAATCGTTGAAAATACTATATTTTTACACAAAATATAGGTACGTTGATTGGACACTAGGTGGTAAATGACTGGTCTCATGTGCCTAATCCTTTGTTTGTGATGCGACCACTACGCCAGGTGGCTTTTCACCAAGATGTATTCTGAATTGTTGCTGTTATGTGGTTGGAGGTGATCGACTGTAAGCCTTGGAACATGGTTTCGTGCTTTTGATACTTACCAGTCAACAATGCCTGTCTACAACCTTGAGAGAACTTATGTCCCTTATAAAAATCAAACCCGTCTTGCACGGCGCTTCAGTCAGAGACGTTACTACTGAGCTATTGGGGCTTGTCTTTCACCACAGGTGGGCCTGTCCAATGTTTCCTGCCGATGGCTTACAGTAACATAACAAAAAATATAAATACCCATTCTTAAAAACAAATCTTAAAAACAGCATATACTGACAAACTACTGCCGTTCAAGTGGTTTTGGTAGAGAAAGAAATTCCTGCAACAACCAACGGTCGAAAATGAATCCAGTATGCACCTGTGACAGACTGGAGGATGAAGTTTCCGGTAGTCTTATTGAGAAGACGTGACCAATAGGAAGCACCAAAGCGGATGTCAGGATATATGATTGGCCCTGGGACACTGAGTCTTGAACTGAGAGAAGTTAGAATTCATGACCCATTAGGGAAAAACTCAGTTTCTGAATGGTTATTTCCCAGCCTCGTCACCTGCAGGTCTCGTGTCTGACCGCCGATGGGGTCGTGGATGTGCATCACTGAAGTTTCCCAAAGTTGTCCGTAACCTCTATTCTGTGCCCCACCACCTGTTTTTCAGTTATTCTCTGATTGATTCCTCTATTCATCAGGAGGAAATCTATCTAAAAAAAGGAGTGTCCAGTAGGTCTTCCGATCTTTTATTCTAGTAATGTTCATTACTGTCTACATGAAAATGCCCATTTTCGACTTTTTGGTAAGCAATTAGTTATTAATGTAATTCTTTAATTGACAGATGGTAACTGGCAGTGGAAAGCAAGATAAGCATTTCGGCTTATTTAGGACTCACTAGCCGGATGTACCTGCATTCTGCAGTGATTGATGATGTTCCCACCGAGTCTCGAACCCAGTGTCCATAGTTTCAAACGCTAAAGCCTTATCCACTAAACCACTTAGGCCACGACAGCCACCTCTTGTGCAACGGGTCATGTTAATCATTTAATTCGATTTTCAGATTTTCCTTTTTACGAGTTGATCACGGATTGACATCAGTTAGAGCACCATTGATAACCAGGGAGTACCGAACAGCTGCTGTTTCATCCTACTTTGGGATCAACTCGTGAAAACATAACTAACCCTTACAAACCAAACTATAGAAAATTTAGATTTTCCACTAATCAACTTCTAATTACATGCCCAGACATCGTCGAAGCATCTGTACAAGAAGCTGACATGTCAACCTGAGACCGAGCACTTCGGTCCAATTAATTGACGGAAAAACCTAAAATTGAATCAAACACCTATAATTATAAAACACAAAATAATCGAGCAAAGAATATTCCTTTCGATAAATTCCTCTTCCGGCTCTACAATTATATATATGTTTATATCCATATTAACAAGCGTAATTTATGCACCCAAAAGAAGTTAGTTCAGATGTTATCATTACCTTGGCCATCCAGGTTTGAATAATCCTGAATTTTTGTGGAATTTCCTTAATTTTAGTTGATATTCTATTCGCTATTATATCTTTATTATTATTATTATTATAGTTAAGGCATCTTTAATAAACTGTAATTCCGCTGTGATTTTACTTGACCAATCTATATTATTTAAAACACACCAATATTGTTACTAACTACCAATCTTGAATATTTTGTGTATATAAACATATATATAATTGTAGAGCCGAAAGCGGAAATTATCGATAAGAATATTCTTTGCTCGATTATTTTGTGTTTTATAGATGTCAGAATGAATATTTTAACTACAATTATTTTTTGATACCAGTCGGTTTCATGCTACATTTTATGAATCACCATGTAGACCCGCTCATCTGACGGGTGTAACTACAATCTTGTAGTAGTTCATTACTATAAAGACTACTATAATTACATCATTTAATTTTATGTATTCCTGCATGTTATCTATTCAACACCTTCTGGCGGAGCCACTGGATAAGTTGATACGACAGAATATAAATAAATTATTGTCTGAGACTGCTGTCTCAGATAATCCACTTGTTAATAAATTCGCCAATCTGGCAGACACGAAGCACAAGATTGATAAAGTTACCACTTTCAGCATTATACATAAGGCGAACTGTCTAGGTTTAAAGCTTTTGATTGTCAAGCACAAGTGAGGCAGTCACCATTAGATATTATTTCAGTCTGATCAGAGAATTCGGTAGAGATTACCATTGAGATATTTAGAAGAAAAGAAAGTTCGAGCAAGGAATATTCGTTTCGATAGATTCTTCTTCTAGCTCTACAGTTGCATAAATATGATAATCATAAAAACTGTAATATTAAGAAAACTTATGTGACAAGTTATTAGAGTAGTTAAATCATTGATAGCCTGGTTATGGAAAGCCTCTGTACCGGCTTCTTTTGAACACGTAAGTTAAGCTTCTTAATGTGGGTTCCGATAGCCTCACCAATATGTAATATATTAAGTCTTGGAGTAAAATTTAGATTGGTTAAAATACGGTAGAGTCGCCTTGTTAACGTCAGTTTTCTGATCTCTATCCAGACGATAAGATAGAATAGAGCTATAAATGGCCCTTATTGGTTCTTCGCTTGAATGCACAGGAGGGTTTTTTGGAAATCTGTCGACAAAGATGCCTAATTGTGTTTCCTATGTAAAGTAGTTCCACAGGAGCAGTAAAACTGATGGATACACATGGAATAGGCTCCTGAACGTAATATGAGGGGAGAGGGGTTGTGAAGAGAAAGCGTACAATGACATATATGTTTTAAAAGACAAATTTAGCGAACAAAGAGTAAGTTCTTCCTGATCAGGTTCTAATAATAATAACAGTATCTTTATTCTGGACAGCATTCATAAAATGTACAGAATTTTCAAAGGAGTTTATTTCATGATATTTTCCCTTCACACAACATCTCCAAGTAAAATATTGACTGGCAGTAGTATATCCTGTGACACATTGCTCTTTGAGCTGAAGGACAAACCATTCTATTATGATATATCTGCCTTGTCTCGTTCAAGAAATCCGCCCACGATATCTGGTTGAAAGCCAGCTCTAAAATGTTCAGAAGTACACTCTAAGACCAAGGGACATAACTGAAGTACAGTTATCTGATATGTTGGAAGGCGTGTTGTTGTCACCTACAATCAGGCTATTCTTCAAGCTTAGTAGGAACTTGCGAATAAGGATATTTTAAATATTACAAATAAACACAAGAGTGTAGTTATATCTCAGTCGATTAAACAAAAATCGAACGACAGAAAATATTTGCAATACAGAGGTGGAAGTTTTTGGTAGCTCAAGTTTTAATCAAGCCGTCAGTCATAATAATTTGGGAATTATAGTTAATAACAATTCAATTATCTTTTAAATAACAACGAATTAGTATTGTCGATGGATCACCGTTAGAAAGCATCTACGGACTAGCCTTGTAACTGAAAGGTCATCAATCCAAACCCCCGTGGGTGCTTAATGCTGAAGAGTCCCGAAATCAGGACGGAAAAGCTGTCCAATACTCCCTGGTTTTCTACTGATGCTCTAATCAGTTTTCATTGGTGATTAAGTATGTAACCAATTAAAACCTTGCAAACCAACCGTTAATAAGAAATCTCCAATTTGAACTCACTTCATTTCTTTCTACTACAACCTTGAGTAGATCCCATTCCCCATTTTCAACATAATTTGACGTGTCCACCTCATCATGTCTAAAATGTAACAGGAAATAACAAGAATTAGTCTGTATTGGGACTTCTTAAAAAAATTTGGAATTTAATAAATCTCCTAATTTTGAAACATGCATTTTTTGCAGGTTTGAATGTCTACAAAACCGCGAACATCATAGAGGCCAGTGTACATAACTTTTTGACACGTATCAGGAGTAATGAAACCACATATTATGGTGTCTCAGATAAAATGGCCATATTTGGCTCGAAATTTATAACAAAAGTGGTATGTCAGTGTGGAACATAGTTAAAGGATTATTCAACAAGTCTCTGTCGGGTGTTTTTTACAATTTCTTATGTTAGTGAAGACCTGAAAATAATGATGAATAGGTTCTCAGTCAACTTATTTGTAGATATTCTCGTCCAAGGAGTATAATAATAATAATCTGCTTTATTCCCAAAACAGACAGTACTTATAATACAGAATGGAGTTCTCAGCATTTGTCACAACACCTTGCATCTGATTTCACTTAAAATATAAATAAAATTAAAACAAAAGTAACCAGAGGAGTTTGTCCACGTTTACGATATAAAGTCAAAATATTCGAAGCACGAACTGAGAATATTAAATAGAGTAATAATAATAATAACAGTTAGTTTGGTGAGGAAAAAATGCAAAATTAACAGTTATATAACACAGCTTAAAAAATGTTCACATCTATGAAAAAATAAACAAATAAAAACAAAAAATTGAGAGGATTATAAATATAAGAAATACAATAACAATAAAGTTGATGTTATAAGGGTGGGGGAAATGGTTTATTTAATACTGCAAAGAAGGTTAGTTAGTTCATGCCTAACATTATTTTCATCACATGAAGTACATGCTGCCAAATATGGTATAGTGGAATTTTTATACTTAGACGTACGTGCATAAAATCTTCTGAAACGATTTCTTGTTTAACCTGAGGAGACAAAGTGTTGGAGCTGCAGATAAAGTGGATGCTCACAGTCTGACAAAATACCTTTAGCAAATTTGTTGCGTGACATCAAATGCCTATCAGTGACAATGTCAACGATATGGCTCAATGGGATCCCACTCGCCCTGCTGACTGACAGTCTTCAGAGTTATACGAAATAGTCTTTTCTCAGTCATCCAGGAAGGAATAAGAGCGAACAGCGAAGAAGAATAGATAAGATGCACGGGTTGACAAATTGTAAGAGGAGTGGTTGGGTTATGCCTGAATGCCTCAACTTCTTAATTTAAAAAGTCAGATGAAATATTCTTTTAGAAATCGCTAAGAGATTTGAAGACCAGGATAGATCAGAAGAAAGCATTAATCCAAGATACTTAACTTCACATATAAAATATGCCATTTGTTCCTTGTTCATCGGAAAGACGTATATAAGCTGGTAAATAAATCAATCTGCTGTTTGTCAAGAATATTTCTTAATGACACTTCTATACAGACTATCACCCTGACAACCTTTCTTTAGACCATCCAAATCCTAAGCAATATTATCAATGTCTCCACCATAGATAAGATTTTATTTTGACAAGTCACACAGTGTTGTAGAGTAATATTAACTGATGATGGAGTTATACTCTACTACAGTGCCCAAGTTTTGTGCTCTTATCAGTGTCTGTTTTATCTGCGCTGCTGATTCTCAGTAGTTATTCTCATAGTACTAAAAGTCTTTAGTAATATATATATATATATATATATATATATATATACAATAAATTACAATAAAAAAGAATAAAGAATATAAAAATAAGAACTAGTCCTTACAATGTATCAAATTCTGAGTATGTTATATTGCAAAGTAGTGATTCCTTATGCAGAATATTCTAAGTAAATTGATAATCAGTAATATATAGATGTAGAAAATTGTTCTATTCGAATCACGCTCTAGTAACCTGCAACATTTTTTCACATTTTCCTGGGAAAATTCTGTCATACTGGATTGAAAAGTACTTGTAAATGGTAGTGAGTACACTTTGCAACTTAAGGATATAATTGGAAGATTAAAGCAATAGGAAAGAGAGAAAAAAGACTCATTTTGATATACAATAGAAATTAGATAGACCTATTCAATTCAGCTGGCTGAGTCAAATATAGTGCTTCAAGAGCACATCATCATTTCACTCCGTTCTCTGCCGTCCTCTTGAGGTAGCCCTTCGACTGACCATAAGCTCTTATTTCCTCTTCACACACCCCTATATATCACTCTTGGGCTTCCGACTCACTGTTCCCCCTTCAGATTCCACCTGAGAGCTTTGCTCTCGATGTTAATCAATGGTCTTCTCAGTGTACATCCGATCCATCTCTGTTTGTTTCAGCAACATTGTTAGATAGTAGATTTTTGGTCGCTGGTTCTTTGCTTGATACAGTCACTTGGTACTTATTGTAACAGGCTGGTCATCTGATCTTCAACAAGTAGCAAAGTGGGAAGCTGTTGGTAAGAGTCTGCGGTGACCTGGTGAGAAATTCTTTTGGTGATGCTCTAAGAAGCACTGACTTGACATTACTTTTGGAGATCCGGATCTTGTTCCTTATTTTGGGCACAGTGGATTTCCATAATGATTCCATAACAATGAAGATCTATTTTGCTTTTGGCTATCTCCTCACTTTTACACATATACAAGTAATGTAAAAAATATACATATTCGATGATTATTCATGAACTTTTATCACTATATTGATGATGAGTTTTCCTAATGTCGAGAAATCGAGTATTTCATTTGATTTCAAACTTGTTGTTGGTTATTTTCAAGTATTGGTCTGCAGAGATTTTGTTTGATTAGTTAAAGGATTTCATCATGAGCTGATGTCAGTTAGCAAACCGTCGGATCCCAGTGGCGTACTGGCCTATGAGTTCACCTTGTAACCAGAAGGCTTTGGGTTTGAAGCCCAGCAGGTGCGTACAGTGAAGAGTCCCAAAATAGGGCGAAACAGCTGTTTAGTATTCCCAATTGATTTTCCAATGGTTTTGTAACCGATAATGGCTATTTGTTGGCTTTTGTACGACGGCTGATTAATTATTTTGTGAATCGATGCGAAATTTCTGTCTTCCTCTGTTGAATTTTGAGCAGACAATAGATGCTCTATTAAAAGTGTATAACTTCTTATGAGACCACGTTCTTATATGGATGTGATTCGAAGATATTTCTGGTTAGTAGACTGTCTGAAGTAAGGCAGACAGTGGGAGAAAGGGTTTAAGCTTTGTAGCCTCAGTTTTTATAGCGTCTTTTTTTTCTAATCGTGGGAAATACCCATTGGAACATTAAATTGAAAAGAACAAGATGTTCAGTAAAGATGACGATCTTTTCGGCGATTTCATTCTCAAAAGCACCTGTAAAATCAGATTTATATAGATCAGTTTACATGGATACAATTATTATTTGTTTAATTCCACATAGTAACGAAGATAGTAATTTTCAAATTGATATGAAAGTTTGAAGGTACGAATATAGATTACAAGGGGCTTAGAGACAAGATTTCATAGGATTAGAAAATAGTTACAACGTATGCAAAAATTAATATTTGATAACTGGAGAAATAATTTTAAGTCAAATAGAAGGTGATAATTGTTTTCAACTTGATATGAATTACAAGAGGCTTAGAGACAAAAATTACGCAGGGATAGAACGAATTACAGGTGTGAACAAAATGAGCATGGAAACAAATTGAAATCAAAATTTTCAACTTGAAATGTAAATTAGGAGGTGTGAATATAGATTACAAGAGGCATAGAAACAAAAAAATTACACAGGAATAGAATATAATTGTAAAATGGTTATTCTAAACGGATTACAAGTATGATCAGGAGGAGCATGGAAACAAACCTAAAATAACTGATTTTAAGACTGACAAAAAATGGGATGAACTGAATGAAGGCAAAGAGAGAAAATTACACACAGAGATAACAAAACCAAAAAAACTGAAGGATAAGCGAACATACAGAACTAGGCCCATGGTAGTTGTAGAGACTGGACTAGTTTCTTTTGAACACATAGCTCCGGCTTTTTGATGCATATGGTGAGAGCTTCCGCAGTACAAAGAAGTTGGAAATACACTCCCTTTAGTAGATTTCTGTTCACTTTGTAAATGACTTTAAAAGATGAGTCAGTTGAGATTCTGTGACAGGTATTGACGAGATGTTCAGTTATTGGGCTTTTGATTGAATCAGTGCCTCCTCTTTGCAGCCATGCTGGATGATATTTTTTTGGAGTGGAGTTACTAGCCTCAGGCCCATCTTTCCCTCTTTTTACAGGAATACTATCGGTAAGCAAGCTGGGCAAGGTTAAGAGAAGTGCATTGGTTAGGAAACAAACTCGGACATTCTACCATTGAGCTACAGACTCCTACAGACGTCGTTGAGAAATACCCATAGAACTGTAAACTGTTTAGTTCAAATCACCTGTAGGATATTCACAGATGGAACTGTCTAGGTGTAAAATTATTCTGTCTAAATTTGGATGTCATTGAGATTCCAGGGATTTAAGGATATGGGCTGACTGATAAGATGATAAGCAGTACAAAAGTTTATCAATGAATAGTTAAGAGCAATCATTTTTAAGCCACTTGAAACGTACACGACAGTCTAGGATTTTATAATGAAATTATGTTGAATCTGAGTATTGGTTTACCTTTTATTGATGGATTAACCAAAATGCCCACTCAAAGTCATCTACATGAATGCTCTTTTGAAAGATTTAAACGCTTGACTGATAATATTCAGTCTGCGCTAAAGATCGGACTAGACACCCACACATTACACTAGCTACTGACTAGTGTCCAATCAAAAATGTTCAATAAAGTCCTACAGGAGGTCAGTCGCGAGCCTGAATAACTCAGTGATGACCTCTCTGACTGCTGCACTGGGTGATACTGGTTCGAATCTCACAGAGGACATGAGTTCCTTTGAGGTTACAGATACGCCTTGCTGGTGAGTGCCAACTAGCACGAAACCTAGGTCCGAAGCCTCCTACCGATTGCCTTCAGCCATTATATACAGGAATACTGAGTCAGGTAAGAGAACAGTTACTCCCATATATCATTAGCTGGCGGTTGTACTACGTATACTGCGGATGGGCAGAAAGTGGAATTCATAGGCTGGTCATTGGATCAGCTTCCAGTGACTGAATGGTTTACAAGCTTGGGTTATAACCGGAAGGTCCTAGGTTCCAACCTCAATAGGTGAATACTGATGAAGACTGCCAAACTAGGACGAATCAACTATTCAGAACTCCATCGTTTTCCAGTCGTTCTTTAACTGAAGTCAGGCTATGATTAAACCTGTAACAAACTGAAACACCCCTCAAAATCAATACTTGATAAAAAGCCTACTTACCGTTTAATTACATTCACCTGCCAACCATCGTATGTCCATGAGCCAAATTTCATCATACAGGATTGATCATCAAACGGAAAATAGGTGATATCAATTTTACACGTTGATCTTAATTTTGCCGGTGGTGGCCAGAATACATTACCGTTTGATTGTACCATTGCCTTGCTTTGCATATAATCTGTTTTATAATCATCTGCACTGAAATTAGAAAAAGAGAAAGGAGTTTATTTGAGCCAGAGAACATGTGATGTACTTCAGGGATAAACTATAAGATGAAGGTTAAAAGCGAATAATAGCTGTGTTGGTGGCATAATGACAAAATACTGATATAAACCCTTCTCGTACACCCTAGATTCATATGCTGTACCACCTAGCGTTATTCTTAAAAATGTGTAGATACCTATGTTATCCTCACACTGACATATTTAATGAATCCTTTTCCAGAAATGTTGCGTCGGCTGTTTGGAAAGACACTAAAATTGTATCCGTACCTAAATCATATACCGGAACATGTGTCAAATTAAGACCTTTCTTTGTTATCTCTCTTTTGTTTTAAAACTATGGAAAAGTTGCTCTTACTTAATCTTCAGTCTTCACTTAAAGCCGTTAACGATTGCGAACAATGCACCTATAAACATAGTAGAAGTACTTTAGATGCAGCTGCAGTCTTGCACCATAACATCATCTCCAGATTAGACAAGGCGGCTAAATTGATTCTCTTCGCCCTCCAAAATTACACATCGGTTTTCGACTCAGTACCTTGGGATATTTTATTAAATAAGCTTACCGAAACTCGATCTGAGCGTTGCGTTGTCAAATGGCTTCATTCTTATATCTCAGGAAGAAAGCAATATATTGTATCTCAGGGGAAGTCGTCCAACTCATTGCTTACTGAGGTTGATGCCCCCCAAGGTGCTGTTCTTTCTCCTTTTCTTTTTTATTTCTTCTTACATGACTTGCCCCACTCTAATGATGAAATGAACTTTGTTAAGTATGCGGACGATCCAACTGTTCCGCTGCCTGTTAACTTCCGGTTATACTTCACTAGGATGAGCAGCTTTTCATCAGGAATCAACAAATGGTCTTTGTCTAATGGTCTTAAACTAAATCCTTCGAAATTTCAGACTGCAAATCTCAGTTTCCGATGTAAAAGAAAATTAAATGAAGCCATTGGTTCCTATGACCCTTGCAAGAATGACGATACTGATATATATTAAAGTCTGAAGTTAAGTATCTCGGATTAATTCTTTCTACTGACCTATCCTGGTCTACCCATGTCTTGGCCACTTCTAAAAAAATATTTCGTCTGACTTTTTACATTAAGAAGTTAAGGCACTCAGGTATAACTCACTCCCTGCTTTTACGGTTTGTTAACTCCTGCATCTCACCTATTCTTCCTAATTGTTCAGCCTTATTCTTTCCTGGGTTGCTTAAAGAAGGCTATTTCATACTTCGCAGAACTCTGGAGACTGTCAGTAAAGCGACTGGCATACCATTGGGCCATATTGTCGACATCATCACTGATGATAGGCACTTGATTTCATGCAACTAATTTACTAAGGACATTTTTTCAGAATGTGGGCATCCTCTTTACCCGCAGCTTTCACTTTACATCTCCTCCTCAAGTAGAACAAGAAGTCACTTCATAAAAAGACTTTATGCGCGCACGTCTAAGTATAAGTATTCCACGATACAATATTTGGCGGCGTGTATTTTATGTGATGAAAATGGTGTCACGGACGAACTCACTAACCTTTTTCGCACTAGTGAATAAACAATTTTCTCCATCCTTATAACATCACGCTTCATTGTTATTCTTCTTCTTATATTTATAGTCCTCTCATTTTGTTTTGTTTATTTTCCTATGAGTGTAGACATAATTTAACCTCTGTAATAATCGCTATTTTTTGTTTTTCCCCTCACCATGTTGTATCAAGAGAACATTAGATTCAAGACTCGATTATTATTATTGCTCCCTTGGGTTCCTAGTGGAACATAGGGCTTCAACTGCACGTCTCCATTTGCTTCTGTCTTCTGCTGTACTTTTCGCCTGCATCCATGTTAGTCCATATTCTTTCAACTCCTCTTCACACGATCTCCTCCATGTCACCCTTGGACGTCCCACACGCCGCTTCCCTTTCGGGTTCCACTCGAGGGCTTGACGCGCGATGTCACCCAGCGGTCTCCTCAGCGAGTGTCCGATCCATCTCCACTTTCTCCTGCATATTTGTTGGGCGATTGGTTCTTGCTTTGTTTGTTCCCATAATTCCTTGTTGGTGATTCTTTCCGGCCATCTGATCTTCAGTATAGAGCGAAGACAGTTGTTAATAAAGGTCTGCAGCCTTTTGGAAATATTCTTTGTGACCCGCCAAGTTTCTGATCCGTATAGAAGAACTGACTTGACGTTTGTATTGAAAATCCGAATTTTGTTGGTGATGCTGAGTGACGAAGATTTCCAGATTGATTTCAGGTTGATGAATGTGTTTCTCGCCTTCCCGATTCTCGCTCGATTTGACATCCTCGTCCGCTCCTCCTGTAGTTGAGACAATGCTCCCTAGATAAGTGAATGAAGTAACCTCTTTCAAATCCCTCCCGTTGATGGTGATTGACACTGGATGCTGTTGCTGTTGTTGGTTGGTTATTTTCATAACCTCCGTCTTGTCTATGTTTACCTGGAGTCCTGTCTTTGCCGGCTGCTTCTTCGACCAGTTTGTCGGTTTTCGCTTGTAAGTCTTCGATTGTGTGTGACATCAAACATAAATCATCCACGCGCGAAATCCAGGTCTTCTAGGTTCTTCACGTCGGTCCAGGATATTCCTGTCTTCTCGTTTCCCACAGTCTGACGCATAATCCAGTCCACCACAATTAGGAATATCATTGGTGATAGTAAGCACCCTTGTCTGACTCCTGTGTTTACTCCAAACGCCTCGCTGAGTTTTCCGTTGTGGATCACTTGACATGTGCCGTTGTCGTACAGCTGTTGAATAAGGTTGATGAATATTTGGGGTACGCCATAGTACTCGAGTAATTTCCAAATTACTTCACGGTCAACGCTGTCGAAGGCCTTCTCAAAGTCTATAAAGTTGAGGTAGAGGTTTGATTGCCATTCCATGCTTTGTTCGATGATGATGCGTAGAGTTGCAATTTGGTCAGTACATGATTTGCCTTTCCTGAATCCAGCTTGTTCTGGTCGGAGTTCTGTCTCCAGTGCGTCCTTTAATCTCTCCAGGATGATGCGACTCAGGATTTTACTTGGCGTCGATAGGAGCATGATTCCTCGCCAGTTCTTGCAGAGTCCTAAGTCGCCCTTCTTTGGTAGTTTCACGAGGTAACCTTTCCTCCAGTCAGTAGGCACCTTTCCCTCCTTCCAGACCTTTTGCAATAATGGAGTCAGCATGTCTGCTGTCGTCTCTGGGTCCGCTTTCAGTGCTTCAGGGGGTATTCCATCTGGTCCGGCTGCTTTTCCAGCTTTCAGAAGCTTGATTGCATTCAAGACTTCAGCTCTCGTTGGAGGATTGGTGTCAACTTGCAGTTGTGTGCGCGCTGTTGTTGGTATTTCTGGACGGGTTGCAGGTGATGGTCGGTTCAAGAGTCCTTTGAAGTGATCCGCCCATTGTTTAATCTGTTTTTCTTCCTTGGTAATTGGGTTCCCTTGGCTGTCTTTTATAGGTTTCGCTTGTGTTGGTCTCTTCCCGGATAGAGATTTGGTTATCTGATATAGTGTCCTCAGGTCCCTTTTGCCTGCTGCCTTCTCAGCTTCAGTGGCCAGGTCGTCGTAGAATCGTCTTTTGTCCTTCCTAGCACTCTTCTTCACTTCTTTGTCCAGTGCTTTGTAAGTTGAGCTCATCGTCTCCTTCTCCTGTCCGTCCTTGCATTGAATCATTTTCTCTTTCACCATTCTCCTCTCTTCTATTAATTTCCAAGTGTCCGTTGAGAGCCATTCCTTGTCTTGTCTCTTCTTTCTTCCTAGAACCGTTGAACACGTTTCGTTGAGAATCGCCTTCAGAGACTTCCAATGTTCTTCCACGCATGATTCTTCAGTGCTGTCGCGTAGTGTTTCCTGCTTTGCTCTGACAGTTGCAGTGAAAGTGTCTTTTGTGGTTGTGTCCTTCAGTTTCTGAGTGTTGAACTTGCATTGTGGCCTATTCCCAGCTATCCTCGAGGCTTTTAGTTTCACCTTGAAAGTCCCTTGTACTAGATAGTGGTCTGAACCCACATCTGCTCCTCTCCTTGACCTTGTGTCCAGTAGGCTCCGTCTCCACTTTCTTGAAATTGAGATGAAGTCTATTTGGTTCTTGGTGTTTCCATCTGGTGAAATCCATGTCGTCTTGTGTATATCCTTGTGTTTGAACACACTACCACCAATCACCAAATCATTGAAGGCGCAGAAGTCTGAGAAGAGTTCACCATTGTCGTTCATTTCACCGAGGGCCTCACGACCCATGGTGAGTTCTCTTCCTGTGTTGTCTCGTCCCAGCTTCGCATTCATGTCGCCCATCAGGATTTTGATATCGCCATTTGGGACGTTGTCCATTATTGCTTGTAGTTGTCTGTAGAACGCCTCCTTCTTCTCTTGTTCTGAGACGTTTGTAGGCGCATAGCATTGAATGACTGTAACTTTCCTTCCTTTTGAGTTGAACCTGGCTGTCATTATCCTGGAGGAGATTGGTTCCCACTGCATGAGAGCTTTGGTTGCTGTTGGTGACATCATGATGGCCACTCCCTCGGTGTGCTCGTGGTTGTCCTCTGGGTGGCCGGAAAGATTACTGTCTCTCCAGTAGGTAGTTGGCACCTTCCAGTTCCGTTCCATCTGCTTTCGCAGATTCCCAACACTTCTATTCTGTACCTTCTCATTTCAGCGGCTATCTGGGCAGCCTTTCCAGTTTCGTACATTGTACGAACATTCCAGGTACCCATCCTTACTTTTGCTTTCATCGAAAGAAGGCACATCGGCTGACTGGCTTCCCGAAGGCTTTCACCAGCCTGCGTCATTTCACTTCCCCGATTCCAGCGAAAAGTAAGGCTATTGCTTATGTTTTTAGAATTTTTAATATATTTATTCGTTGAAGTTTCTGTAGCGATTTGGTTGTTTTACAGGGGTGGAGTTGCTAGCACCACGCCCCAACCCTCCCTCTTTACCCGGGCTTGGGACCGGCGAGAAAACTAGTAAGCTAGTATCTGGCGAGGTTCAAGATGTA